TATCTAAATGCTGGTCTTGCCATTGCACTGTGTTCTACTTGGCTGAAAAGGACTGGGCATCTTGGAGACACTTATTTGGAACAAACAGTAAGTTCTAAAAGTAGTTCTTTTTACATTTTTTTTTTTTTTTTTTATGGTTTACTGATGAAATGATTCATCTACCTGCATGAAGAACACATTGCCAGAGCAGTTCATAAAAGGTTTAACAAGTGCAAGTTTGCAAGGAAGGGCTCAGATTGTTCCTGACCAACACATAAAGAGTGAAAGATCAAATGAACTTGTTTTCTTTTTAGATGGGGCTCATAGTCCTGAAAGCATGGAAGTATGTGCAAGATGGTTTTCTCTTGCCATTAAAGAATACAACCCGGATCAAACCTTGTTTAATCAGCAACCTGATAATTCTAAATTCTTACATGAAGTAGTGAAGATGCACCATGGGGAAAGAGGAGCCCAGAGAAAATCCACTCCGGTAGAATATAGATTTAAAATCTTACTTTAAGTAGCTATTATTGAAATTTAAGCACATATAAGCTTATAAGTTAAAGTTGGATATGTCACTGTACATTAAAATTATGCAATATATGTTCAATTGAGTATGTCCCATCCACAGATAATTTTATTTATTTTTTTGGTTGAATCCCTGTACAGATATTTGAACTACGAATAACTAATGTTTAGTAATATCTGATGCTTTAGTTAGAAAATCACCATTCAGGTAGCCAGTCAAGTGTTTAACCTTATTTTTAGGCATGTAGATTACTCTTAGTAAAGGGTAAGTCCCCGGTGCACAAGGCTCCAGACTTTGCGACGGTAGGGGGTGCTCCATAGATTACTCTTAATAGGAACCATAAAAATACAGATTATCAATTTCTTCAAACTTCCTAGACCTTATCTTTCTGAGGTATGTAATTTGAGACAGGTTAATTGACCTTCTTGGTAAGCTTACCACAATCTTCTTTTTGGATATCAGTTTAAAGCTAACCTTAACTAAATCACCCATGAGATGTTATGTACCTGAACTCTTTACTCTTTTACAAGAGAGACCATTAAACTAAGTTGCATTCTCAAAAGAAATGAGACACAAATGTGTTTCAATCTTTGATATGAAACACCCCATTTCTATGTTTTTGCTTGACATCTATTGATTCATGGCATTTCACTTCTCAGGAAAATCATATGCCATCAGCTGTCTTTTAATTTTTTTTTCTTTAATAATTAAAAGCACCTGAGATACCAACAAAGCCCAACACAGTTGGTAGATAACTGGGTTCCTTAAGCATGTTGACAGGTGTTCGATTCCTAGCTGTGTGTATGGAAAAGGTTTTGTTGGGAGAGGTTTACCCACTTAATGTGATCTCCCACCTCAAAAGGATTAGTCTTCGGCTGGAGGATACCTTGGGAAACCAAAAAAAAAAAAAGCACCCGAGATAAGAGCAGAACCATTAGTATTGTTTTTTCAATCAAAATTCGTGCTTCATTTTTTCATGACACTTTTTGAGTTGAAGTCACTGAATTTCTTGCAGATATTGCTGTTCAATTGTTTAACTGTACGAGATCCTCAGTTGCTTCTTCCTCCCCTGATGAAAACATGTGCTGATCATGGTCAGTAGTCTCTGGATTTTGCTAGAACATGATTATCCCAATAATGGCTTAGTCCAAAGATGATTAAAAAAGTTCTAAAGATTAATAATATTTTGCAAATAAGTGGGTTTCTCCTCCATTAATTCTGTGATTATTTATGTCTATCAGGAGAAAAAGTAATGCAAAATATTTTTTTCCAGTGACTATTTTTTTTCTGAAGAAAGTATTCTTTGTCCATGGAATAAAGTAATAATTAAATTGAAATTGTAGGTGTCTACTTCAAGAAGGCGCTCTTTGTACCAAGTTTATCTGTGTATAACAAAGTTGGATCCCAGGAATTAACATTGACTGATTCTAAAGTAGATCTGTCATGGCAGTTCACTCTTCAAAAAGTGTGGGAAAATCTTATGCAAGGCAACAAAGGTATTGATTAGTGACTTACAAATTATATGTCCATAATTCAGATTTACGAATTTGATTATTTGAGACTGATTTGTAGCTGTGGAATAGTTAGAAGTTAGAACCATAACTGTTGATGGCAGCTAACAGGTGCAGATTCTAGTCTGTGTCTAAAACTGTCTAGGATGTACTAGCTAACTCTTGTCCTGTTTCTTTTAGTAAAAATCTGAACTTGTGAGGTTGAACTAATAGGCCAAAAAGACTCGAGAGAATAGCAAGAGAAATTTTCTCGTGGAGACTGGAGAGAAAAAAATAGAGGGGATGACATTAGGGGTGCCGCTAATACATTCATTACTTACTTTTGGAGCTCTTTTGGTTATGTGCAATTAAGTAAGCCCTACTCTGGCCTTTGAGTTGATTGCCTAAATTTGTATACTTAGCATACTCACTAACCCAAGTCTACTAAATTTGTTTTGGCATTGTCTGTCTCCATTGGCTGTCTGGCCCATGATTAACTAATTTAACTCTTCAACAACAAATCCAAGTCTTATCTGACTAGATGAGGTTGGCTAAATGATACTTTGATGCCACTGGGCTTTTTCAAAAACCAATTTTTCAATAAAAACATTTGGAGTCTGGTCATGTTCAAGTTTTGAATTTCTGTTGCAATGCTACCGCATTAGGTGATGCTGTCTTCTATCTAAATCCCTGGTGAGTTTAATGGTTAAAAAAAAAGTTTGCTTTGATCCTTTTCTACCCCCTTTTAATCAGACTACCTTCTTCCCACATGATCAGACCACTACAGGAGAATTTCTGTCATATTCTCCTTACTAGTTTTTACTCCAACTTTCTCCCAAGAGGACTCCTATTGTGAGTTCATTGAGATCTACTGCATGAGGAGAGAATTGCAATGTCTCTTTTCTACTCATCTTTTTGCTTTTTTCTTCTCTCTGTCTTTTAAGTTAGAGCTTTAGAATATTTTCTGTCTTTAATCTGTTTGTGATGACTTGGCTTAGCAGGTAAAAGTACTGACATTGTTTCTGAAGAACTAAAAGATGATATGGAAATGAGTGCCAGTAATTGTGAACACAGCGCAGTGTTTTCCTCATTGCCAATGGCAATCAAATGGCTCAGGGACAGAGTGCGACAAAATCAGTCAGTTCGTTTTCAGGTAACATAAATTACACTAGAGAATAGCAAATATCTCATATAACAAAATAAGAAATTTAATGATGAAATTCTATCTAATATAACGTGCACTTGATACACATTATTGTAACTTTTCTCACCATATAACTCACATTTTTAACTAATTCTTGTTGTACTTGAAAGACTTGATACACGGTTGTATATTGTGAACATATTCGGCTTACAATTTTCACTATTTTTTGTTCTACTACTTGTAACACTTAATGATGAAAATGATTGCTCTTTGTCAATCTGAATTATTGTATACAAGCCTAGTATAGAAATCTGACTGCAAATTTGTCTGGCTGATACATCAGGTCCTTGTTACTGGTTCTTTACATCTTGTTGGTGACGTGTTGAAATTAGCCAAGAAGTGATTCGTTGGGCAAATTTGAAGTTTCCTTCAAGAATGGCATCCATTCTAATTTCGAAACACATGAAGTGCTAGTATTCACGACGGTATTCCTAGTGAGTTTTCTCTGGCATTTACACGGTCCATTGCAAAGCTAGTGCACTTTGGTTCTGAAAGTCCCAACAGAATGTCATGAACAACAGCTTTGGACATTTGATAAATCCAGTCCATTGGTTCATCCTAAGGATGGTCACTTTCTTCAAAGAAAATGTGGATTCATTTTAACCGTATGGTAATTATTGTTGTTTAGAAAGCTGTGTCCTGACCCAGAAATATAGGTCTCACGTTTTCACCTTCTATATATATGTTTTTTAAGTAACATTTTCACAATATTCAAGGTTTTTGTAATATGTCCAAACCTATAAAATGAAGAATAAGTTAGACTAATCAGTACTGGTTTCTTTCTTTGTAAGTTGCCTCATTTTGGGAGGTAGTTTATAATATTTTAAAATTCAATGATAGCAAGTGTGATTGATTCTTTCTGAATGCATGAAGCAGCGGCTATGGATGATGATGGACGGTAAGATGACATAAACTGGAATAAATTGCAACACTCTTTTCAACATGCTAACTTCTGTAGTCCATTATTAGTTTATTACACATTATTTGATGAAGTATGCATAAATTCTAGATAGTTCAAAAAAATAAAAAATAGCCGCACATTTTTTAAGACCTGAATTTCATGTGAATTTTATTAAACAGAGAATAAGATCAGATAATTAGCGAAATTTACATAAAATTAATCCAATAAAACTGGGTGACAGGTAAGGAGAAGGTGCTACCACAACCGAGCAACATAATAACACCACGTGCAAGCAACCCATTGTTGACTTTGACCAACACCAATTTATGTAACTTTTATTGAACAATACTATTTATATGAAATATTCTGTCAACTTGTCTGGGTGGTGTAGTTGGTTATCACGCTAGTCTCACACACTAGAGGTCCCCGGTTCGAACCCGGGCTCAGACACAGATGTCAAAGAATATTGTAACCATTTTTTAAATTTTGTCAAATGCATGGATTGGGCCCCAATGAGCCCAATCTATATCCAATTTGATATCTTAACCCACATTCTATGCACGTGGTCATCCGTTGAAAAGCTGAATCAAAAGATCCGGAGCCCATACACCTGGCCCCTTCTTGGAGCCCAATCACGTGAGCCTCGTTGGAAAGCGAGGTTCCTGTACTAGGGAACGCGCAAATAATAATAATAATAATATATATATATATATATATATATATATATATATATATTTTTTTTTTTTTTTTTTTTAAAAAAAAAAAAAAGGAGAAAAAGGGTGCGTCGTGCGTGTGGGCCCCTGCGAAAGTGCGAATTAAAAATTTGAAGGTGGGGTCCAATTCTGTGCATCAGAGAGCACGGTATTTTGTTGCAGTCTTCCTTCCAATGTACGAAAAAGCAACCGTTTATTTCTTCTGCTATCTAGCTAGGGCTCTATTCCAATTCTGACTCGGAAGTTTCCGATGGTTGTTTGAACTAACGAGGTTTTGTCGCGCGTTGCTTTCTCTGCATTGTATTGTATTCCATGGAGGAATCTTACACCGGCCTTTCCACTAGCCACTTGCTCGGTTCAGTTCCTGTGAGCTTCTTTCGTTTTTCCTTTCTTTAATCGTTTATTTATGCTATTCATATGCCATTATTGCTTTAATTTATTCCTTGCATGCTTGATCATCGGTGCAGAAAATTGATCTCATACTTTTTATTTATTTATAGGAATTAAGGTCATTGGAGAAAAAATAAAATAAAATTGTGGAAAGAGAAGAGGAACTTCAATTTAGCTTTCGTTTCTGATGCTAGTGTCATTTTGATGGCAATCTCAGTTCTCCACTCGGAGTAGGACCACTGCTATAGGTAACAGTGGTTCAGATTATTAGGAAAGTATTAACGAAAATTAGTAAATCATGTAATGATAAAATGGCAAGAGCAGCAAACTCATTTCTGTTATAAGTAGGAGAACTTGCACTTGCTGCATCCTTATTAACTCTGTTAAATATGCTTATGGGTATGATTCTACATTAAATTGATCTCGCTATCTTATGCCTTCATTATTCTCTATCTTTCCCATCCTTTTGATTTTAAATTTAATGGTTCTTCTTATAATAAATACATAGTAAAAGTTATTTTGTTCGTTCGTGAACTTGTCTGATCTAAGTTACTGTTCTTTTTTTGTTAGTAACGAGTTCTTTTAAATATATTCTAATTTATTTCACTATTTTTGGTTCTGCGCTTATCCTGTTTGATGTTCAGGCTGTCATAGCTGAAGAAAATAATACCACGAAACATGAGGGTATGGAGTTATTGATTTGAATTTTTGTTTCTTATATTGAGGCGTCTATTCTTTTCTACTTTTAAAGTTTGAGTTCCCCTTAAACATAATGCTTATGAACATACATGTAGTCCCTGGTGCAAATATGCAAATATTCCCTCCTAACAATGGAGGAGCCGGAGGACGAGGATATCAAACTCTTGGCAGTCCTCCTGGTATGTTATTGAGTGACATTGAGATAGTTGTTTCTGTGTCTGGTCTTTTATTCTTTTTTCTTTTTAATGATTTGACAATATATTTGCAGTCCATGGCTGTTTCCTGATGACAACCAGTATATACTTTATAATGAATTGATGACTGGTGCGGAGATCATTTTTACTTTGTTTAGTTTTAGCTATCTTAGAAATTACCAATATATGTGTTACATCATCTAAATTAGTTCTCATTTTCCTTTCATTGTCAACTATTTTGAAATTGTAGAAAAAGAAAATTATAATCCCAGGCCTGCCTTTACTCAGCTATTGACTGGGGGAGAGAGCTAGCATATTCTGTAGTTTATTTGATATGTTCATCTTGTAATCTTACATGTGTTTATTAGCTGTTTTCATACTTCCATGTATGATGTTGAGAATTTCTTCTTTTTTTTCTTTTTCTTTCCAGGTTTGAAGCCAATTTGAACTGCTTGACTGTGGTTGTCTTAAAATTTTCAAACTATAAGTATTTTATTTCCATTTTCAACCTAACATTCTAATGACATTCTAATGAGATAAGTTATATTTTATTTTGACCTCTTTTGCCTTATGCTACTTAAAGAGAAAAACTTTCATGCTGTCTCTTAGTAAAATAAAATTTTATTTTCTCTGTACACTTGCGTCACGAGTGCTTCTTTTGGTTAAAAGGAATTATAATTGACTAATTAAATGATATATATTAGGTTGAGTTTTTGTTTAAAAATTGTTTTCTTATTTTTTTCAATATGACATAATTATCAATCAATTCCCTCTTGTTAAAACAAATTAACATTTACAAGTCTTTGACCTATTTTATACAATTTTATTATGTTTAATATGTACTTGCTTTCAATTAGTGAGGACCAATCGCCTGGAAACCAAGAAAATGCGCATCTATATAGTATCTTACTGATCTCCATATATCGTAATTAATTTTTTTTTTACTTTGTTTTAATGATGTTCACTGACATTAGATATAGGAGTTTGAGGCTCTCATACAACAGGAACACTTTCTCTTCTCCCGCAGACAGTAAACCATGGTGGGGCCCACCATGTATTTTTGAAAAACAAAATAAAAAATTAAACAAAAATTTTCTGTGTCTATCGCATAAGAACACACTTCTCCTGTGAAAGGAGAAGTGTTTTTCCCTAGATATAAGCACAAATCATTAATGACATTTACAGTCTGCTACTATTTGTATAAATCAATATAACACCATAACCAAACACCAAACAATATTAATTATGGCTTTATTCAACTTATAATTGTGAATCTTAAGTGTTATGATCTTGATTTTACTTTCATCTTTGACCAAGATTTACATCCCTGATTGGTTTAGTTTCATCAGACTTGAGAATAGCTGCCATTTGTATTTTCATTTTCGTTTTTTGATATAATAATGTCATTAATTAATCTTTGGTTTGCTCATCCATGTAGAAGCTTTTGAACAACAACCAACAAACAACTGGAGGGGATTCTTTAGTGTCTCATCTTACACACAGTATTTCGATGTAGATACGGATGTTGTCCTATCCAGATTGATAAGTTCCTTGAATCCATTTGGTGGAGACTTTTTCAGCACAATAGATGCTAACCCTGATTTGTGCGTTCTGCGTTTTTTACTCTAGTTCTTCTATACTTTCAATTACCAAAATAGAGATACTCATTTGGAGTACATATTTATATATGGTACTTGGGAATTTTTTAATTTTATTGACCTGTTACCATGAACATTTTTAGGCAAATGCCTGTTATTTTGCTTCCTGTTCCCTGTCTCTTCTTTTCCAGAGATATTTGGGAAGTTATGGGAGACATTTCTGAACTTATACCAGATTTTCAGCATCCTTCTCTCAAAAGCATGAATTGTGCTATTAATGAGTATCTAACACTAATAGTGCAATCTTTTTCTGTTATTATAGATATGGGCTTATATGGATTGCAACAACATTGGTTTTTGTACTTGCCTCATTTGGAAATCTTGCTACGTTCCTTATGAAAAAACATGCAGATAACAGTACTTCTTGGAGCTTTGATGTCAGCTATTTGAATATGGCCGCATGCTCCATTTATGGCTATGCAATTGTTGTCCCAGTGGCATACTACTTCTTCCTTCAGTATATGGGTTCAAATGCTAGCCTTATAAGGTTTTGGTGTATGTGGGGCTATTCCCTCACCATTTTCATCATCTCCTCTGTAAGTTTTTTCTTTCTCCAATGTGGCAAATTGTGTAATTATATATACTACAATATTTCACAAATCTATTTTTATGTTCTCGTCCATGTATCCAATGTGGGGGATGTGGGCCTGAAGGGGAAAATTGGCACGGACACTGCCTCAACAAAGTGAGGCAATCCTTTATCACAGCCACAGGTCAAAGGACCTTCGGGCTCAAACTCACATCCCTCGCGAGTACAATTTAGAACCAAGGCTCAGGGGGCAATAAGATTGCAAAGGATGGATCAAGGTCCAATGAATTTTTTCGTGTTTCTATTCAGCATAGTGATAATAATAATATCGTATTATCTGAGCCAAGATTGGATAACCATGACTTCTTTTCACATATATTTTGTGTAATCATAAAATATGATTTATTTTCGATGTCCAAACTGAATATTTATCAGTTGTGACAGGAAATTTCAGCATTAGCTAGCTAATTATGTTTTAATTTTGTGTAGTCTTTCATGTTACTATCTAATTCATATTTCTTGGGATACTTTCAGTTTCTGTTGATAATTCCAGTTGAGATTCTTCGGTGGATTATAATAATCCTTACTGGTGTTGCCTCGGCTAGCTTTGTTGCCTTAAACCTGAGGTCTTATATAGAAGGAAATGATCTTTCAGTGGCAATAATTGCCGCATTTTTCTTGCAAATTGGTTTGGCGGTGTTCATCAAGGTTTGGTTCTTTGCGTAGCTAAATGCGTTGCAGTAGTGAAGAATAAGACCTAAACACTATCATTGTTAGCTCACTCCGTTGGCTAACTTTGCTCAAGAAGTGAGTGGAATTGTCATGCTGCAGAAGGGGTTTGTGGTTTTTGGATTTACTAGAATGGAATCGAGAAGAATTGCAGAGAGAGGAGTCCAATTTCTGTATGAGCTCGGTCTGAGTGTCCGTATCATTTTGGCCTATAGCCTTGTGCAAGACCAATATTTTAGAAGGGGAAGAACAAATCATTGACTGTAGTAACTAGTGTCTGTTCTAAATGTTTGCATATTTGTGTAAATATACTCCGTCAACAAAACCTTTTTTTTTTAAGCGCGAAGTTGCTGTTTTGCGTGAAGTAAAGGCAACTTCCTGTACTATAGGTGATATTGTAATATCCCTTCCTTGATGACCCGATTGCATGTTGTTATTTTTAAGTGCAGTTAGGGATTCTTTTAATAATGTGATAACTTCATTATATGATAATGTCAAAAAAATTAGGATGGAAATGTATTGAAAACATTTAGTATTTTACGTAAAGGATTTGTATTTGTCATTTAACATAATACAACATATTTTTCTACACGCACAATATTTTGTGGGGTCCACACTTTTTGAAGAGAAAAAAAAGAAAAAGAAATTACGGCACGCAAAACGAATCTCTATAACATTACACAATCATTTTTTTTTAGAATATAACTCTTATAAAACTCTTTATTTAATCCTGATAATGTATATTTTTGTGTTTTAAAAAATTAAGTATAATAAAATGATTTTTTGTTTTTGGGTTTTTCTATTACGTAGTCAGTAGGGGTGTAAATGGGCTGGGTTAGGCTAGACTTGGCTTAAATAGGCCAAGTCTGTGTAAAAAACACTTTGTATGGTCTGACCTATTAGTCTATGTAGGCCTCAAATTACAAGTCTGGTTTGACCTATATTTCAAAAATAAAAGTCTTGGCTCAGGCATGTTAGCTTGTTTAAGCTTATTAAACATTCAAAAATTAAAAGAATAACTAAAATAATATTATTTTATTATTCAAAATTGTAAGGGTATAAAAAAGTTACCCGATTTATTAACGTCTATAGCTTCTCTTGTTTTTTTTTGCTTGATTTGACCTAATCTGTTTTAAAAATAGTATGTATGATATGTGCTGGCTTTTAATAAAATAATATAAATATAAATGATTAAAATTTTTAATATGTAAATATAATTTTTTTAGAATTTATTAAATATAAGCTTAAATTATTTTTAAATATCAATATAAATTAAGCATAAAATTTATAATATATATTTAATGTAAGAGTAAAAATTAAATTAAATTTAAATTAAAAAATTTAAATTAATATAGGTAGAGGAAAGTTATACTTTAACTTTTTTTTTACAATCTCTTACAACTATATCTTAATACCGTTGATTTTCGTCTATCAATGGTTATCATTTAATGTGAATTAATAATTAATTAATGAGTTTAATTTGTAAAAACCATTATAATTATTAATGAGTTTAATAATTAATTAATGAATTAATAATTAATTAATAAATTTAACTATCTTTTTATCAAAAAAGTTGTTAAATTATTATCATTATAATTATTTGTGCGCACGCAAGCACATATTAATACATGCATGTGTAAAATAAATTAAAATTTAGCTTTATAATAAAAAATTAATATAATTTAATTCAATTAATTATTTTTCCTTTACAGCAAGATAGTTAAAAATTTTGGGTGTGGTTTTAATTATAATGCTTTTATTTTTATAAACTCATTGTGAAATATGTTATTTTTAAATGTTTATACATCATATCAAATCTTATATTTAAAAAAAATAAAAAGATCAAATTTATAATTTAATTTATATTAAGTTAATAAATTAAGTGAATTTTAAAATATTTTACATAAATTACTCCATTAATATGATTGGAGATTTTGCTGAGTTAGTGTAAAAAGGATGGAAAAAAAATAAAAAAAAGTGACAAAGGGTAAAATGGTGAAGAGAAAAGCGGCAAGGTGTGATTGGGCGGGCTCCAACACTAATAGGCCACATTTGCTGTCTGTCTCTAATGTTTATCCTTGCTGTCGCGCCGCCTCTCCTTCTCAAGAACAAAGTCTACCACTATACTCTATACTTTATACTACTCTCATTTCATCTCATCTCATCTGAAAATGGAGGGCGTGGATCCTTCTCGAACCTTCCTGAAAGATGTTAAGCGCATTATCATCAAGGTGAGAGCCCCCATAACAAAGTAGTAGTTAGTTATAGAATTAGTTAGAAAGTGGCATTGCCTGATGTTGTGTGTTCTTCATGGTTAGGTTGGGACTGCTGTGGTCACGCGCCAGGAGGGAAGAGTGGCCGTTGGAAGATTAGGGACTCTGTGTGAGCAAATTAAGGAACTCAATTCCCTAGGATACGAGATTATTTTGGTCTCATCTGGTGCTGTTGGTATTGGCCGCCAAAGGCTACGATACAGGAAATTAATTCACAGCAGGTTCGTTCCTTCGTTCGTTGTTTGGTTTTGTTACTCTCACTCATATTAATTTCCAACTTCAATTATATATTAATTTAATTAATTACTTTCATGTACTGGTGCAGCTTCGCTGAGCTACAAAAGCCACAAGTTGAACTTGATGGCAAGGCATGTGCTGCTGTTGGACAGAATAGTCTTATGGCTCTTTATGATTCTTTGTTCAGTCAGGTAGTAATTCGTTACTTTTTCTTTTTTTAATGCCTTATTTGTTTTCAGTTGTTATCTGATTTTAGTGCAGTTGACAGTGATTTTTTTTTATTGGTTTCAGCTCGATGTGACATCTGCTCAGCTTCTTGTAACGGACAATGATTTTAGAGATAAAGATTTCAGAAAGCAACTTACTGAAACTGTGAAATCATTGTTAGCGCTAAAAGTTATTCCGGTATTCAATGAGAATGATGCTGTCAGTACTAGGCAAGCTCCATATGAGGTTTCTTACTCTTCTTGCCTGATTTGTTAACAAACGTGAACATAATCATGAAGCTTAACCTATTTAGTTAGATTAATGTACCTCTAGCTGTCAAGCATTCCTGGGGTGTGCTCAAATTGTTCTATTGCTGGTTATGTATGAGAATAAAAGTAAGAAATATACTTTTAGGTTAACTTTTGTTTGTTTGTTTGGAGGTCAATATTTTTCACTTGAATTTTATTTGAGCCTAGAACTACAGTCTTTTCAGCTTGAAAGTTCAGTTTGGAGCGTGCTTCCTGGAAATGGTTACTTAATTATTTCCATTTCTAACTATTTAAGTACTTAAGAGTGTCACCAACTTATATTTTCTGCAGGATTCTTCTGGTATATTTTGGGATAACGATAGTTTATCTGCTTTATTGGCCTTGGAGTTAAAAGCCGATCTTCTTGTTTTGTTGAGTGATGTAGAAGGTCTTTATAGTGGCCCTCCGAATGACCCACAGTCGAAGCTTATTCGTACATATATTAAGGAAAAACATCAAAATGAAATTACTTTTGGCGACAAGTCTAGGGTGGGAAGAGGTGGAATGACCGCCAAAGTAAAAGCTGCTGTTAATGCAGCTGAAGCTGGCGTTCCTGTTGTTATTACCAGGTAATCTTTTACACTATATTACTGAGAAAGAGTACAACTGAACGCTGCTGTTTTGTTTTTTGTTTTTTAAAAAACATCATTGTTGTAGGCATATTACTTTACCCTCTTTAGGTTTTAATTAAATCATTATTCATCAGTGCCATTTTCAATTAGAAATAGGTTATTTAGGCCATGACACGTGAACAGACTATTTAACCAAACCACAAGCATCTATGGAAAAATAAAAATAAAAAAACTTTTTGATTTAAATTGCTTGCAGTTACCTATTTATCTTATCTTTATCCTTTTGTTTTCTTCTCTGTGTGTCTTTATGTCCTCCTAGTGTTTCGATTTAGCAAATTAAAATGAAAATGTGTATGCAGTGTGCACAAACACAAAATGAGAGAATCACTTATGAACCCCCCCCTCCCCCCTTTCTTTTCTTTTTCATTTTTGTTGATTTATACCAAGAACACTATGAGATTTAGTGTGGACATTGACTTATATCTGATGTTCATCTTTAAAAGTTGGTTTTTCCTTGCTCTTGTCACATTTTTTTTTCTCTCCTTTCAGTGGTTTTGCAGCTGAAAATATCATTAAAGTTCTCCAAGGACAATGTATTGGAACCCTCTTCCATAAAGATTCACATGAGTGGGCCCCAGTAAAAGAGGTTGACGCACGCGAGATGGCTGTTGCAGCCAGGGAATGTTCCAGACGGCTTCAGGTATCTTTTCTATCTTTACACTTACAAATGGATATTGCTGAGCTTTAGTGAACCGGTTCTAGTCAAACATTGTAATATCCTAATTTTACTTGGCAGGCCTTATCTTCAGAAGAGAGGAAACAAATTTTACTAAAAATAGCTGATGCCCTGGAAGCAAATGAAAAAGTGATAACGACTGAAAATGAAGCTGATGTTGCTGCTTCACAAGAAGCAGGATATGAAAAATCCTTGGTGGCTAGGCTAGCTTTGAAACCTGGGAAGGCAAGACAATTTTCACTTGAAGAAGAAATTGTCTATAAATTTTAACAAATTGATGAGTTTCTGATGATAAACTATGATAACCGACAGATTGAAAGCCTAGCAAAAAACATCCGAACTATTGCAAATATGGAAGATCCAATTGGTCGAGTATTAAAACGAACTGAGGTAATGAAAAGTTGATCTGGAAATATATATTTTGGGTCATGCTAGTTTTAAAACACCAGGTACAGGGGCCACTGTCTAAGTAGGATCCGCTTCCCTTTGGCATAGTATTAACTGCAGATTCTAATTTTACATCTTACTAGTAGATAAGATGGACTTGTGTTATTTGCAGATTTTTTGTCCAAACTCAGTTTGAACAAATTTTTTGTGGACCCTTAAGATTGCACTGAATTTTTATGATAAATATTGATTTGTAATGTTTCTGACAGCTACCCTTTAATAGCTTTCAGATGGGCTAATTTTAGAAAAAACATCATCTCCTTTGGGAGTTCTCCTGATTGTTTTTGAGTCTCGCCCTGATGCACTAGTACAGGTAAATTAAACCCTTTTCTTCTTCTCTCTCTTTTTCTTGTAGGACCAGGACAAAGTAGTTATTGAATCAGATACAGAATAGTTATAGAATTAGTTGGTGTTTAGAGTTGTAAGAGCCTCTTTGCAATTATGCAAGGGTAAGGCTGCGTACAAGGATTTCCTCCATTCCACACTCGCTATTCGGGTTTAACGGGGAGTGGTTTTTTTTTTTTTTTTTAGAGTTGTAAGAGCAGGGGCTTAGCTTAAATAGTACGAAGTAGGTAGAAGAGACAATCATTCTGAATTGTTAGGAATGGAAAACTGAGCATTAGCTCTGTTTTAAAAGAGGAAACCCTTTGTTGAAGGAGAACCTTGGAAGGAGAATTCTCTCCTTTTTCTGTTGAGATTAGATAAACCGCAGATTTGTTCTCTTTTCTCTCTATTTCTCTGCTCTTTTGTGGGTTCATAACACTCTCTTCCTTTACTTTTCCACTTTGTTTTCAGCATTTATATTCATTTGCTATCCTTGTTCACTTTGTTTTCAGCATTCAGAAGGAATTAGGGAAGATCTGTTTAGAGGTTACTAAATGAATATGTTTTCGAATGAGCTTGAAGAAACATGGGTATGAAAATTTAGCTGAGATTAATATGGCCCCTGCCGGTAAAAGTGGGAGTTTGAAAACACCCTTCCCTTCTCCACTTGGGTTGTGCATGCGAAAAAAGAAGGAATATTGTGTTCAATATACGTATGAGCTAACACATTGATCTTTTTATTATGTTATCTTAGTGTATAATTTAATTTAATTTTTCATTTTTCCTTTATGGCTACTAGCATTCCATTTGCTCCTTTATACTTCTTAAGTTACCAGATTTATATTTTTTGTTGCTTCCTTGTAGTCAGTTATAATAATTTGTTGCTTGCATGCAATAGATATCATGCCCATCCACAATCTTGAAACCATAATCTCATTGACTATGCTAATTTTTCATATATGTTGAATAGCATTTTTCATAGACATTTGTAAAGAATCAATTCAATCCAAAAGCTTAAGGTGTTGGGTGAGGGCCTTTGTAATGGTTTATATTATTTTCTGTTGGGTTCCATTTGCAAGGTACACATTGGTTGTATGGACAACTAACGTGGGGTTTATAAGGCCTTAGACACTCTTACCCTTTGAGCTAGCTTTTGGAGTGGTGTTCTGATATAGCTAGCTTTTGGGGTGGTGCTCTGATATAGCTAGCTTTTGGGGTGGTGCTCTGATATCAGAGCACCACCCCAAAAGCTAGCTCAAAGGGTAAGAGTATCCAAAGCCTTATAAACCCCACGTTAGTTGCCCATACAACCAATGTGGGACTCCAAGTCCCATACCTTGCAAATAGAACTCAACATTCTCTAACACATCCCCTCACTCAAGAGTCATTTGGGCTTGAAGCGTGAATATTGCACAGGCCCAATTTTTTGTTTACCTTGTGCTTATTTAATTCCACTATAAAGTGGGAGGATCAAACGTGTGACCTCGTGGTAGCTCGGATAACATGTAAAGAACCAATAAAACCCAAAAATTTAAGTTGTTGGGTGAGGGCTTTTTTAACGATTTATATTATTCTCAAACTTGTTTCTTGCCACTGATGATGGTATTTCTTTGTATCAATGTATTGTGACATGGTGGTGTATTTCATTTTGTTTCCATCCTTGAGGGGCATCATATTTTTGGACTTTATAATGTTTTTCCTTTTTTAAATTTTATGCATGTTTCCTTTTTAACCTATAAGAATAGTATCATAGGTTTCTAACTGATCAAATGAATATAAAGTTTCACTGTTAACCATTATTGATCTGTAGTGGATTAGTTTTCTGGTATTCGTGAACTTTTTGAGCTTAAAGCAGTTGGATTGTTTATCTCTGCATTATATACTGTTTATCTGCCTTCTAAGCCAGTGGCTTTGTATCATCTGAACAGATAGCTTCCCTGGCAATACGAAGTGGGAATGGGCTTCTCTTGAAAGGAGGCAAGGAAGCTAAGCGATCAAATGCAGTTTTGCACAAAGTTTGGTTTCAAATAAAAATAATTTGCGAACTATTTTCTGTTTAATTTTTTTTTTTTTTTTCATTTGGTAGTTCCGTTAATAAATTTTTTTGGGATGATTCCTTATCTCTGAGATGCAGGTAATTACTGAAGCCATACCAGATACTGTTGGTGGAAAACTTATTGGACTTGTGACCTCAAGAGCAGAAATCCCTGAGCTACTTAAGGTGAATTGATCAGTCTAGCTAAATTTCAGATTTATAAACTTACTCGCATTGAACATTGGCATCTCTAGCTAAACAAGGACTTCTATTTCTATTTGACTTTCAGCTGGATGATGTAATTGATCTGGTGATTCCAAGAGGCAGCAACAATCTTGTTTCTCAAATCAAGAGTTCCACCAAAATTCCCGTTCTGGGTCATGCTGGTAGGACCATTATGCTTATGTTCAAATATAATTTGCAAGCAGTGCTTGATATGGCAGGATAATTCCTGTTAAAAGAATTTATTAGTGATTATCATAATAAGCCACATTATTGCTAATACAGATGGAATTTGCCACATCTATGTCGATAAGTCTGCCAATATGGGTCTGGCAAGGCGGATTGTACTGGATGCAAAAATAGATTATCCAGCTGGCTGCAATGCTATGGTAAAGTATTTCTGGATGACTGCAAGATTGGTAACGCCAGCTATTTTCTTTGCTCATTAATAACTGCCATGGTTTTTTTTTTTTTTTAAGGAAACGCTTCTTGTCCACAAGGATTTAATAGAGAAAGGTCGGCTTAATGATATTATTGTTGACCTACGAACCGAAGGTATGATTTCTGGCAATCAGTTCCTCTTATTCTAGATTCTCTTTCAACAGTTGATTCTTCTGAATGCTTATTTAATTTCACTCCCCATTAGGTTTTGTAGCTTTAACTGGATAAAGGTTTTGTGTATCATTTAAACATTTAATTTTTGTGACATGAACTACATAATTATTTAGCTATAAGGAAGCCAATGGACTCTTTAAATAGGCCAATATCAAGTGTTTCTTCCAATGTTGGTGTTTTTGCCCATTCTCTGTCATACTAGATAAATTTTGCTGTAGGTATAATTTCAATTTTTTCTCATTTATGGAAATTTAAGCTCTCATTCTGATACATGATTGGGAAATGGGTTTTATAAAAGTTATGTTGTAGGAAAAGTGATTGTGTTATGTTATAGAGATTCGTTTTGCGTGTCGTAGTTTTTTTTTTTTTTTTTGCTTCAAAAAATGCGGGCCCCACAAAATGTTGTGTGTGTAGAAAACTTTTTCTGGTCATGTTGCATGATGAATGCAAATCCCTTAGGAAATACCTATGCTCCTCAATATTTGGATTAGGAAATAAGAACTTGTACTATCAAATAAATTCATTTGTTAGTATTCTTTTTAATTTCTTGTGAGAAAAAAGTTCACGGGCATGTTTGTGGGTAAGTATGGGGTGGTTTTGCATGTCAAGCAAACACCTAGTGCCACTCGAGGAAGATTTTATTACATAGACTGGATGTAACTTGTAACGCACGACAAACAAAATAAGAAAACCATCAATGAAGCATTGTATATTGTATCTTAAAACAAATAAAATAAGAAATATATTGTGTCTTTTCTTGAATTCTCTTTAGGAAATTCTGGTGAGAAGAGAACCATCAATGAAGCTTGATATTATGGTGCTAATACTAAGTCCCTGGATCATTTGTAGCATGCTTAATGCTTACAGTTGCATCACAGTGCTAGTAATTCCAGATCAAAGTCATTGTTGACAAATTCTGCTGTGAAAATTATGAAGAGCAGCACATTTATATATCTATTGTTTAATGGTTTGGAATTTGTTGACGTACTATTTAATTTGTGAATATTTCTAAAATGAGCATTTCCTGCTTAGACTAAAACTTCTTGTTTCAAAAGGATATAAAGGGCAAAGGTAAACGATAAACCTCGGTGCACAAAGACTCCGACTTTGCAAGGGTAGGAGTAAGGATCAATTGTGTGTGGCAAAGAGATTGTTTCTTATACTCAAACATGTGACATTCCGGTCGCAAAGGAGTAACTTTACTACTTACTCGAACATTTGCCCTCTATGTTTTATAAAGATATATTGAATTTTATTTTTTAATGAGATTTAAATGTCCGAGTAATGTTCAATTTGTTTATTTTTGTAATTCAGAAATATTCTAGCAATTTAAATGATCTTATAGACAATTAAAAAAAAAATGAAAGGCATCTCCAAGGTTTAGATTGCAGTCTGTCCTTGTGTTGACTTCAGTTTACATACTTACTAGACTGGTGAGTTGTGTGATTGGCATCGTTTTAAAGATTTCTAATTATCTGGAAGTTAAATGAACTGTTATACTGAATGTCAAGGTGTTATCTTGTAAGGTTTTTGGAATGGCTAAATGATGTAAAATTTATGCAGGGGTTACATTATATGGAGGACCAAGGGCAAGTTCTTTGTTAAATATTCCACAGGCACGTTCATTTCATCATGAGTACAGTTCGTTGGCTTGCACTGTTGAAATTGTGGATGATGTGTATGCAGCTATTGATCATATAAATCTTTATGGAAGGCATGTCACTGTTTTCTTCTTGATAGGAAACATGAAAAATATTTTGCTTTCATTTGTCTTTCTTCCCTCTGCTCCATTTCAAATGACGTCTATGGTAGCGCAGTGGGCTTAGATGGATGAGTGTCACATCTTCTCTTTCTTTTGTCGCAGTGCACATACTGATTCCATCATTGCAGAAGATCACGAAGTAGCTGCTGTGTTTCTCCGCCAAGTAGACAGGTAATATTTTAAATATGATGTTTCTTATTTTGTTTCTTTAATGATAAAAAATAAGTCCAGGGAAAAAAATAACAGATATTTTCATCAATTCTCTACTTTGCAGCGTTTTATTATTTTGTGTCATTTAGTTGGCAATCTTTGACAAAGTTAAATATTTATAAACACTAAACATTGTCCTTTAAACTATTAACTGTTTTCCTAGAAGATATCAGCACATTGTGCAATAGCTGCAGTTCTGTAAAAAAAAATTGTCTTGTATTGGCAGTGCTGCTGTTTTTCACAATGCAAGCACAAGATTCTGTGATGGGGCACGATTTGGTTTAGGCGCAGAGGTATAATATTGTTTGCATTTTCTAAACAATCTATTACATTAAGGTAGTTGCTTTAATTTGTAATTTCCTTTTGGCTGAATAGGTTGGAATAAGTACAAGCAGGATTCATGCTCGAGGTCCAGTAGGAGTTGACGGATTGTTAACAACAAGATGGTATGAGCTGATGGTCATTATAATACTTGAGAAACAGTACATATCTTTTAGTTTTCAATATGACTAACAATTCCATTCAGTCTCTTAGTTAATATGATGGACTTGAATGGCACTAATCACTATTACATGAGGAATGAAAGATTTATGTAAAATTGATCTATGAATAGCCAACATAAAAATAGGTTTGTAAAGGACTATAACTAATATTTCAGCCCTTCATTTGTAAGTATGCTTAACTTGCTGATACAGGATTAATGAAAGTTGTCAAACTATGATATTGTTTGTTTTTAATGAAATATATTTCATAAGATTACCCTACTGTCTACAACACAGATCCAACCCATGTATGATTTACAATTTGAATTTCCTCCCAGCCATGATGATAATATAATGGCATAGTCATTTTATAATTAACCCACCAAGTTATATATAGTGTTACGTACGTGGTTTACTTCTTATTGTCTTTCTGTCTTTTGCGTGTGCAGGATTCTTAAAGGAAGTGGACAAGTAGTAGATGGTGATAAAGGGGTTGTCTACACTCACAGAGACCTTACAAACTAATTTGTTGGTATTGCTATTAGAACTAAACATGTCTCGTCATCAAGGAGGCGAGGCAGAGAAGGTGACTGCTCTGCTTGCTTAATTTCCTTTTGTATCCTTTTAGTTTGTCTGGAGAGTGCGGGATAGATTGTACAATTAAACAGAAGCGGGGTAGGTGTTATGTGATGCTTTTGCTTTTAACGGTGTTTCAAGACAATTTGTTTTCCTCCCCAACAATAACAAATTGATTTCCATTGTTCACGAACCTTTTTAGTAATGTTATTGATTACAGTACGCCTTGTGATAGGGTATGTTATTTAGTGCATTTGTTTTTGCAGTGTGCAATTGTTTTTCAGCTTAAAATCCGTAGCTTCACTTATTGTTAATTTGTCCTTTGCTTATGCTAAGAAAATTCTGAGAATTAAAGTCTCTAAAGCAGTATAATTCTTTTCTTTTTTTCTTTTGGGTTTTGTTAACGATTGAATGTTTTTAGTGTCAATTTTATGTGTATTTTTAAGACAAATGTTAATGTTGGAAAATTTCCACGTAAATGAATAGATCAGCCCCTTATAGTTCCGTGTTCGAATTACTAAAAATCTAGTCAGCAAATCTGCAACCCATAGCATTCCTAAATTAGCAAATTATTGTACTTTCGGATAAAACCGCAAAAGAGAAATTGCTAATTTTAGTTGAAGAATTTCTGTTCCATACCATTTTGACTAAAATAATAGAAAACCCTTATCTTATGGTTTTTTATTTTTATTTTATTATTTTCTGAATTGGTGGGTAGTTATTTAAATTTTAACTTTCCTAAATGATAGGTCATAGTTATTGCTAGAATATATCTAGTATCAGTGAGTAGTTATTTCTAAGGTTGTCTTATATTATCAATTTAAAACTTGAAGTATTTGAATAAAAATCATCAGAAGAATTATTTGGAAAAAAGCACTCTATGTAAGAGGTCAGACTTCCTCAGTAAAACTATTAGAGGTCAGGCTTTCTCAATACATTCTTTATTTTGTTAGTAACAATTGGTATCAAAGCTCAGGCATGGACAAACGCGTTCAGAAATTGAAAGACGCGATCTAGTCTTTGTCAGAGTAATTCAAGGAGATGTTCAACCAATTCTCCAACCGGTTGGACATCTTGGTGGGTAACAGGCCCAACACCCTCTCATCTACTATTGGGCTAACAAAATTATACGAGGCCTCCAATCATAAGATCAAAACAATTGTTCACCATCCAAGCAGTGACAAAAGAGAGCGACTACGAGACGATGATGGACGAAAGTGAAGAAGAAGCGGATATTGAAGATGATTCAATTACTTGACGTTAAATTTACTTTTGAGGACAAAAGTTATTTTTAGGGTGAGAAAATCTTATAGTTTTTTATTTTTATTTTATTATTTTCTAAATTAGTGGGTTGTTCAAGTAATGGGTAGTTATTTGAATTTCTTTCCTAAATGATAGCTCATAGTTATTGCTAGAATCTATCTAATGCTAATGGATAATTATTTCTAAGGTTCTCTATTATCTATTTAAACTTTGAAGTATTTGAATAAAAATCATAAGAATTATTTTTTAAAAAAAAAACACTGTATAAAAAGTCAAGCTTCCTCAATAAAGCCAAATTTTCATTTTTATTTATTTTTTCGTAACACCTTACTAGTTACTTCTAACATTAAAACGAACGCTTTAATTGCAAAAAATAAATAAATAATTCTTGGTTACCAACTTGAGAATGCCATGTTTCTAGAAGACGAAAAACAGTAATTTACTCAAAATGAAAAGGAGAATAAAAAAGCGTACATCGAATTTGAAGGAAACAAATAAAAGCCAATGCGTTGCTTTCCAGCCAAACCTCAAGTTCAGCATATTAAGGCCATGTTTAAAGAAATGCGTACCGGGAGGGAGATAGATAAATAAAATTAACTAAACATTTTCGGATATGGTCCACTTTTAATAGAAACTACTACTACTAAGCCACAATGATAAGATATCTTATTATCTTTCCCTTCCAATGTATCTCATTAAAACATACAAGCAATGCAAGTATGGTCCGTACTTTCTTCAAACGATGGCTGTAAGCACATGAAGAGCTGCGAATGGTTTATGCTCCAACGAAGTTCCTGAGTTTTTTCAACCACACCAAGTATTCTCTACTGTCCTTGTTGATCATGTACTCATGCAAGAAATTGGTTGTGCTAGGTTTGATTCCTCTAATTTCTAGATACCTGTGGAAAGATTTTTGCAGGCCCTCATCCAAATCCCTGTAAAAGACACATTGAACAAGTTCAATCAAACAAGGCCTTACAAAGAACATCAATTAAATTGTAAATGGAAGCAAGATCCACAAAAGAAAAGGAAGAAGGGGCATACTGGAAGTCTGGTCCCTCATAAGGAATTTGATCCTCAGCAAGGTCAGGATTCTTAACAGACAAGGTGTCAATAACAATCTCATCAGGGTAAGCCACACAACTGAACTCTAGAAAGGGTCCACCCTTCTTAGAAACACTCACTGAAAGTGGAATGCTTGACTGTGATGCTCTCTCACTTTCATTATCATCATCATCATTACCATCATCATTTTCTTCCCCAGTTACCAGATCAGGCATGTGAACCTCAACCTTAATTTCTTCACCTTGGTATGTTCGTTCAAGTATTATAGTCTGCTGTCCAGCACTATCAACTATTTTAAATGGGAAATTACTTGGAACCTCTTCAACCTGATAACAAATTACAGTTTTAACATTGCATAAGATGAATAAAAATAAATTTTATTGGGTCAACTAAAAAATTATGAATAAAAAAACAACTATCATCGTCATCATCATCATCATCCATAATATGAGTTGGGTATTGAATCCATCAATCATCATCATCATGTATGAGTGAAATGAGAAAGGAAACAACTTACAGCGCCATGATCGTCGGTCTCCTGGGCGCAATCAATTTCGGATTCGATGACTCGGAGGAGGTTCTCATCGGAGGTGGGCATGTTCTTAGAAGAAGCAACAGAAGAAAAGTGAAGCCTCGGAACCAATGGGTCCAAAGAGGGCTTGTGGTTGAGCTGGTTAATGGCGGTGAAATAACCCGGGTGGGTCTTCTTCATCAATCGACCCGCAACAGCAAGAGGCCTCGCAAAAGAACCCAACTTGCGAAGAAGAATCGAGTTGAACGCCATTTCCACAACACACAGGGGGAGAGAGAGAAGGGTTTTACTAAGGTTTTACGATGTACGATTGGGAAATTTTCCAACCCCTAAATTTATGTAAAATGAAAAACCTAGGTATAGATTGTTTCGGCCCATTATTGTTGTTGGGCCAGCCCAAAAAAATTAAAAATGGGTAGAGTTCACAAAATGATACATGTTTTACGAAGTAAGTGAAATACATCCGTAAATATATATATATATATATATATGAGTCAGGATCATTTTACACTAGTGTAAGTTACACTCTCAATATTATCCGTTGATCCCACTTATGTCTAAGGGCTCAAATTTTTTAGTAATATGAGCCATTGGATACAAGTGGATCAATGTTCAAAATTGAGTGTAAGACTTCTAACTTTTACACCGGTGTAAGATTATCCTATCCCTATATATATATATATATATATATATATATGAGGTAGGATCCTTTGACACCAGTGTCAAATTTTAGATTTGACACATCATCTGAGAGTCATTAGATAAAAAAAAAAGATCAATGGTGTCGCATACTTACAAATCAGAGTCGTTGATCTTTTTTGATCTAATGGCTCTCAGATGAGGTGTCAAATTTTAAATTTGACACTATATATATATATATATATATATATATATATATATATATATATATATGAAAATTTATTGATAAATAATTTGTTTTTATTTTATTATTTTAATGATCTTTATAATAGATAAATATATCCAGAAAATTATATATTTTTTTAAATACATTAGATAACAGATATCTTAATAGGGTAATCACATTTGTGGATCTCACTACAATAAAAGTTTACATGATCCTCAACAAACCTTTAAATTTATGAGAAAATGTTTACCAAAAAAAAAAATAGAAAAAAAAGATACTGTGTATTATAGTTTCATTGAATTGTACAGTTGCTAAGTGTAACTATGTCGAAATCTTAAAGGGACTTTGGTTAATTATTGGCGTTGGCACTTACGGGACTTAAATCTCATCCAGATCGAGTTAGTGTTAATTATATCTGCCATAATTAAGATTATAAAAGTGGTGAGAAATCTACCTTGAATGTTGAGCTACACAAACACAATGGATGATTAATGCATATTTGTGATACATAATTTTTAATATTTAGTGTATTCATCTTTAAATCGTTCCGGGAACTTAAGGTGGTACTTAATTTGTTTTTTATTTTCTTTCTCAATTAATATACTTTTATTTTTAATTATAATATTACACACTAGTTTCATATTATTCTCTGCTTTTAAGATATTCTGAAGGAAATGGTGAAAAATTTGTTATTTTTACTCTCAGTTTTGTAAATTCTTTAAAGCAGAAATAAAATAAAAAAATACAATATTTTTTGTAATTACCAGTTAAAATACATCAAATTAAAAAAGACAAAAAAAATATGTTGCTTTAACTTGTTTTAAATTTTGCTTGTCACGTTAGAAAATGGGTACCGAAAATTTTTCCTATTTAAAGGCCCAAATCTAATACATTTCCCGCTCTGAAAACCCTAACAACTCGTAGAAGAGAACCCGAAAGCGAATGGGGCGGAAGAAGCGAACGATTTCGGATCCCAACAACGAAAAGAAAAAAAGTCGCCGTGCTGGCTTCTCCGGCGTAGATGCCGGAGTTGAAGCGAAGGACTGCATAAGAATCTTTCTAGGTACGCTAAAAGAATGCAATAATCATAACACGCAGCTCTTGATTTGGATTATATCTCTTGATTTGTGTTCCTTTACTTTCAAAATAGGATTCTGACCTTATATTCTTCTGATTTTAACTTGATTCACTCTGTTTCTTTTCTTTCTTTTTGATTTTCTTTTTTGACTTGCGGGTTATCAATTGAGACTAGTGTTTTCAGCATTATAGGTAACCAGAACGATGCTAACTAATTAGCATCGTTATAAAATAAAATAAAATAATATATATACATATTGCTGTTTAGGGTGAAGATTTTGATTAAACATGTGAAGCGATTGTTTCTTGCTCGTGCTCAGTCTATGAAAATACAAGTTATGTCCAAGTTCATTAAAGTGGCCTTTCCTATTATTTAGTTTTCTTCCTCATTTCTTTGAGTTGCTGGTCCGTATGCAGTGATTTGGCAATTGGCGTACTTAATTATGTAATGTCTGTCATTATTGTACAGTTTCAAGCATACAGGAATTCCATGCTCCAGAGAGTTTTCTCATTGATCCTGTGGATTTGAATAGCTTTTTTGACGATGATGGAAAATTTTATGGTTATGAGGATTTGAAGGTCAGATTAATTTTTAAAAAAATTGGAAACTCTTAATTCAAAGATAATCGTATTTGAATGTTTCATGGTGTACAATATCTTCCTTTTAAGCTTGTTTTCCACTTCTATTGTAGATCACCATCTGGGTTAGCAGCATATCCTTTTATGCGTATTCTGAAATTACATTCCAGAGTTCATCTGATGTAAGTTCTGAATTCGTTTAGACTTTAGATTGATGTAAAAAAAATATTCATATTCCATTCCTTGTTTTATTTTACCAGATAGTTCAGAATTTTCTTTTGTTTTGCTGCCTCCATTATGGCTTTGACACTTTACTTAAATGTGCTATTTGATTGTTTAAGCGAGGCAAAGGGATCACAGATCTTAAATCTGCTCTTCAGGTATGCATCAACATCTACTGTGTGACCATTATTTTGACACCTTTTACCAATGACACTGTGACTTGGTTTGTTATTTTTTGCAGACAATTTTTGCTGAGACTCTTGTTGATAGCAAGGATGAATTCCTTCAAAAAAATTTGGTAGATGAGGATTTTGTTAGGTATTAAGTCTTTCTTACTCTTTTCATTCTAAACAAAAGCAACATACTCTCTGTGCACACTTTCTTTGCATTTTTAATAGATTACTTCAAATTTAATTTGTAAAATTGTAAAGACTGGATGCCAATTTTAATTGGTTTGCAGGACAACCATCTCAGATGGAGAGGTTTTGAAGCACAAAGCTTTCGAGGGGCACATTGATGATTCCAATCAGCATGCAGATTCAGCTACTTCTGATGTTGAGGTTGTAATTTACATTTAGGCTCAATGTGTTGCACTATAGGTAAAAGTTAGGTTGCTTGAGCACAAATGCTCAGTTTAAATTTTTTCAGAGAAATTATGAATTGTCTGATACACTTGTATATTGTGTCATATATTCTTGCCAGCCAGTGATCAAATGTACTTTATGCAAATGTGATTAACTTGTTCCAACAACCTTCTTTTGCATGAAAAGTCCAGCCAACAGAAAATGTTCTTTTTTTTTGTTATAAGTGTCTGTGCAACAAGTTTGTATTTTGTCTTCCTTTTCCTTTTTAACCCCACTCATGTATCTTTCTGCATATGCATATTTTAGAGAAATATTGTGAAATTGAATGCCATTCTAATATATCTCCTGTACTAGGTTGTTCGCTTGGTGGCAGGTAACATGGCTACTGGACAACTTTACAGTCATCTAATACCCCTTATTCTTCTTCTTGTTGATGGTAATTTTCACCCACTTCATATACCCGATTTTAAGCGATGTTTAGATTGCATGTAGCTGTTGCTCATTGCTTTTTTAACCACTCTTGTTTATCATATAGGTAGCAGCCCTATTGATGTTACTGATCCACGTTGGGAGTTGTATGTCTTGATTCAGAAGAAAACTGATCCGCAGGGAGAGATCCAATGTAGGTTGATTGGTTTTTCTGCTGTTTATCGATTTTACCGCTATCCTGATGATTCTCGATTGCGACTAAGTCAGGTTTGTTATATATTGGTCATTCAGTAATAGCTGCTATACTCTCAAAATCAGTTTTAACTTTTAACATGCTCTTCTAGAATTCTCTCAAGTGTTTCTTTTTATGACCTTTTGATGTGACCTTCTATTGATGCCAGATACTGATATTGCCTCCTTACCAGCACAAGGGTTATGGTCGGTTCCTTCTAGAGGTGCTAAATGATGTTGCCATATCTGAAAATGTTTTTGACTTGACAGTAGAAGAGCCATTAGATCACTTCCAACATGTCCGCACTTGTGTTGACACACTTCGCCTGCTTCGTTTTGACCCAATCCAGCATTTAGTTACTATGGCTGTCTCATTTCTAAAGCAAGGAGAGTTATCAAAGAAAACACATTCTCCCCAGCTCATGCCACCTCCCAGTGCTATTGAGGAGGTAAGGAAAAGTCTGAAAATTAACAAGAAGCAGTTTCTCCAGTGTTGGGAGGTTTTGATCTACATTGGCCTTAATCCTGTTGACCAAAACATGGAGAACTTTTTTAGTTTTATTTCCGACCGTGTGAAGTATGACATCTTAGGGAAAGGTTCTGGGACTTCTGGGAAGCAACTTATTGAAGTACCAAGTGATGTTGATCAGGAGATGTCATTTGTCATGTTCAGATCAGAGGCTAATGAAGCTAGTACTGTGCAGCTGGATGACAATCAGACCAACCAAGAAGAGCAGCTCCTAAAGGTAGCTCAGGAAAGGGTGAAAGAAATACAGTTGATTGCGGAAAAGGTAACCCTGCATCTTGGGAGCTCAGTTCTGGCTGTTAATTAAATTCCGGCCTCCACAAGATGGCATGAAAGGACAAGGTCGCCCATCTATGATCTTGTGTAAATGTTTTCCTGTTGACCCATTTAATTTTGTATTTCTGGACAATCACACAGATTGTTATCTTGATAGACAGACTCCTAGGAGGCACGATCACTACTGTATTTTGGTTCTTTCTACTAGGTTGTAATTGAAGTTTTCTTGTAATAGGCTGTGAAAGAACCATGTGATGTAGTCGTAGGTTGTGATGACTGAGATTTAACCACAACTAAAGTCGATTTGAGTGACAAACAGTGGATGTCGTCCACTTATTCAGCTTGCTCGTACTTTTCTGCCATGCAATAGTTTGTTACGTCCAAGAAATATGTAGGTTATGGACTCTGGTTTTGTAGTTCTCACTCTTTAATTGTTCTTCATTGGTGCCGTAGAACTATAATCATGGTCAGGATCATGTCAGTGAGTTTGTGCTAATAGAATCCAACCTGGAACGTACATGTGAATATCACTAGCTTCTTACCAATTGTAGTTAGGCATGATTGATTTTAATTTATTTTAGGAGAAATAGGTACTTTTTTTTTTCTTCCCCCGAAGTCTTCTTTTGGGAGCTTCTAATTATGTACTGTTTTGTATACAAAATATGCTATAAATGTCAGGATAAATCATTCATGGCAGTAAAATTAGCTATTCATTCAATACATAAACAAATCAACTGAGCCCGGATCAATCAACTTGAGAACTGGGTAAAAGTAAAACTACGCGTGATCTTTCTGTCAGTGTATTTTCGTTCAAGGACCGGGCGTAGTTTATCTACGTCGAATTCGTGTGCTGAAATTTCTCGACATAAGTCGTAATTATAGTTTAGGTACACATAAGTCGTCTCAGTAGAGTGTATGTAGAAATTGCAGATGTCAAAACAATTTAAAAAAAAAAACAGTATAAGTTGAAGGGGAGGTACTTTGGGTCTACGGGTCGTATTTGGGTTGAAATGAATACCCTCAATCTAGTCATGACATCAATAATTATTAGCCTTAAAATCTTAGAAACCAATACAACTTGTTTAGTGCATGGGTTGAGATAACACTATATTAATACCTGTTAATTTTACTTTTCGCATGAAATTTAGTTAAATAACCTTAAGTTAATAAATAAGTGACAATTGAAGGTAAATATATATTTATATAACAAATTAATTATAATAGATCAATTGTGGATTGATATGAACAAAATATGACCATGAATGCTTTTAACACAAACACGGCAGACGAATACTATTCACTATGAATACAAAAAATTCATTGTATTTGAATCTTATTACCATCTCAGGTTTGTAATATAAAATATAAAACTGTTAATATATTTTCATCTAACAATTTAAACTTTTAAATTGAATTAATTATTTTATATTGCATCAAGAGAAGTGGGACTGCGCAAGCCCAATTATCCGATGAATGTTAATAAATATGTATGGCCATTGGCCAGCACTATCTTATCTTCTTCAATGTCCTGACAATCCTTGTAGGAAGCTTTCATCGAAGTCATAGCTGTCATCAAATCTCGGCAGATCTGGATTCGGTAATGCTCTAGGTTTTCTAATTTCCTGCTTTTGTCGTAGAGAATTAGAAAACCTACATATTCTAAACAAATTATCATATTATATTAAATATTTTTTCTGAGACGTTATTTGGCTAAAAACTTCTCCTATTATAAAGAGATATTTTTTTCTCGTAACAAATATGTAGGTACTACTGATTTTTGTTTAGAATAAATATTCGTTTTGGGTCCTTGACAAAAAAACACATAATTCATTTTAATCTCTTAGAAAAAAACATCTATATTAATTCTTTTTGACGAATTAATGTTGGTCTTCTTTGAATTTCTGAAGGACCACAATTTCAAAGAACTGGAGTTTCACGAGACCATAAGTCGATTTTTTTTTCTAAAAAATTAAAATGGATTTCCTATTTTTTGTTGAGGATCCAAAAAGTTATTTATTCTTTTTTTTATCTTTCTTCTTTTTAACGGGATTCACATGTATATTATATGTATACGAGAAAAATATTTTTAATCATGTACAATAATAATTCTTTTTTCTTTTTCTTTTTTTGATTTCTCAAGGTATCTTCCCGCCGACAGCTGAAGACTAATCCTTTCAAGGCGGGAGATCACATTAAGTGGGTAAACCTCTCCCAACAAAGCTTTTTTCATACGCACGGCCAAGGATCGAACCCCTGTCAACATATTTAAGGAACTCAGCTATCTACCAATTGTGCTGGGCTTTGTTGGTATCTTAATAAATCTTTAACCTATGTTATATGTCCACGGCTAAAAGCGTCACCAACTCACTTTAATTAAATCAGCACCATTTTTTTTTATCCTTTCTTTCTTTCATTTTTTTTTTCCAATAAAGCAATGCCTCATTTTTTTTTTTAAAGTCTTTGTGGAAAGTGCTTGTGTAAGAGGAACATTTTCGTTTGTGGTGAGCTCCAAAGGTTGCTGCACTGAGGAAATCCTGCCCCACCCCTTCTAATCTTTTTGAAAAACTTCTAATATAGACAAATATAAAGGCAAGGCCATTTAACCAAAAAGTTTCAGTTCTTGTCAAGTGATATAACTGCAGAAGCAAATAGACAAAAACATATTGGGCCATGCACTTGCAATACGCAATACGTGTGTAAACGTACACTATCCAAATGGGAAATGTCGAAATGACTTTTGCACATCATTTTCTTTCAATCTTGAGGTACACTTTATTTGTTTGGTTGGTTAAAAAGAAAGAGGAAAAATATAGATTAAAAATATATTTCTCTTGTTTTATTATTAAAAAATAGGTGATGTATCCACACAAAAAATAAATAAATAGATTATGTAACTTGTAAGAATATTAGAACAAAAGTAATGTATAAATATTATTACAAAAAAAAGGTAATGTATAAATATTATTGTTGATACATTGAGAATTTGAGTTTTATAATAAAATAATCACTACTTTTTAATAATAAAAAGAAAAAGAAAGATATTTGTACAAACGAATCTATGGCAAAACCCTCACAAAATACCATCCAAGCTCCTAAATAAAACTTGAAGCTTGCAAATGGTTAAGAGAAGTCTATCTAAAAACTTCTCTCGAATTCATATTGGGGAAATATTTTTACTCTTTTATATATGGGAAAAATGTCTATCATTTAAAATTACATAACTTACATCATTTCACTCTCACAAAGAGGTGGGACCCACACCTTTATTTTTTTGTCAACTCTCTCTCCTCCTTAATCTATCTCTTTCTCTCTCTTAAAATGACACAACTTTACATCCTTTAAAATTATAAACACTTTTCCCTTTATATATACCTCGCCGACGATTTCTTTGTAGTGGTTGGAACTTGGAAGTATCCAATTTTGTCATGCTACAACAGTTGCACTGGATGATTACACACAACGACGAAACCACGTTAAGACCAGCTAGGCCTAGGCACCGGATGATTTTCAAATTGGCTAAAATTTGGCATTATATGCAAAACAGATAAAATTAGGCACTGACTACACAGGACTAACATCTTTTGTTGGCTTCGTCATTGATCACTCGTAAACACACAGTGTCGGACACAGAAATTTTAATAAGAAGGGACGAAAATAAAAAATACTATATTATAAATAAAAATACTTGAAATACAATACAAATTTAATATACAAAAAATTGAAAAAAAATCTATTACAGAAATTAATATCACTTCACTTACTCTTGCTCTACGTGTTTTCATATTGTCAAACTCATATAATTAAATCCGTGCTAAAACTCAATAATTTCTTTTTCAATGTATGTAATCACAGATAGTCTATGATTATACATACACGCAATGATCTAAGGAAGGAGGAAGTTGATTCTGCCTGCCTCTAGAATTTACACAGCCAAAATCAAAAGGATGAAGAAGGAGATTGGTGATGGACGGAACACGGAAAGGAGAGAGAGGGAGAAGGAAAAAACGATGGCTAAGTCATTGCAGTTCGATCGTTCAGTCTTCTAAATTTTGTGTTTCTTCGTCGTATGTAGACTCTAAAATATGTGTGAATCATCCAAGAACTTGTAACATAAGTGTGTCTCTAGAAGCCGTGTAGAAAGAGTCAAATTACCCTCTGCTGCATTTGCGTGCAATTAAAAGTATATGATTATTTCCAAAACAAAAAAAAAAAGAAAGTATATGATTATCTGTCCATGTTTGCACTTTCATAAAGTGAATGTATGTAAGACGCGTCTTTCAAAATGGATTAGCCACTATGTAATTAGTTAAGTGGTGAATTGGAACACAATTACTAAGTCAAAGTTACGCCACTTTATATAAATTGGGTAATTCAAATTGATTCAATTTTTCTACATATATTATATAAAAAAAATTCTCAAATTTTAGAGGGGGGCGGGGGCCCACCCTAGCCCCCCTACTGGGTCTGCCCCTGCGTAAACATCCAAACTCGTTAGCCCCAAATTTACAACTATCCTTTATAATTATGTACTCCCGAAAGTATATAGTTATAACATTAAAATTGTTTTTTTCTCTCTCTTCAATCACTTTTCAGAACTTGTCTGCTAACATGTAAAGAAAAAAAAACAACTTTGATGATATAATTATATACTTCTGGGGTACATAGTTATACATATATGAGAAAAATATTTTCACAATCACTATAGATAAGTTATATGCATTCATTCCTAAAACGAAGTCATTTTTTGTTTGAAAAATTAAAAAATTATAATGATAAAAACTATAATAATCTTGAAATAAAGTAAAATTACAAAAATACTATGATTTTCGTCCCAAAATGATATCGTATTGAGCTCAATACAGATAACTTATCTGCAGTGACGGCAGAAAAAACGAACCATATATATATATATACATAAGGGTTTATATTTCTGTAGCTGCTATACGTGCAGCAATCAAATACTTGCAATATATATACTTGAAAACATTAAATACAAAAAATCATAACCATACAAAGGATGAAAGCATTACATGCGAAAAATTATAACCATATACTTGTCGTTGCTATATGTAAAGCAGGTGCAGAAATAATTTTACTATATATATATATATATATATATACAAAATCACATCTAAAGCTGCTGTACATGCAGCAGCAATGACAGGTATATAATTATGATTTCGCACATTTAATCGTAAATTGAAATACGTCTTAGCTTTTTCCTAGTGAGTTGTAATAGCTGGAAAGAAACAAGTAATTAATAATTTATTCCTATACATACCCTGAAAATTACACAAACTTTGCACAGCAGATCAAACTTTCGACCTTTACAAAGATTCTGACCTTTGAACATTGTAATGACGTCACTCGTTATAATCGAAAAACTGACTTGTACACTGCGTGGGGTGAAAGAAAAGGATGGGATGAAGGAAAAGGGAAAACAGATGAAACGAACAAACAAGTTTCAGACTAAATAACTTACTACCTCTTCATCCCATGCTACCATTTTGAACAACATTGACCTCACATGACTATCTCTGGCTTCAAAATACTTGACTTGATCTCCTTGTGGGGTAAAACCACGCCACCATTGCTGTAAATTTCATCACATACATGGACATCTTCTCCAAGGATAGTCATATTCTCCACACGAGCCCATTGCCCAACAGTGGAATGCCACCCAATAATACTACTGGATATGCATGCATGCTTTTTAACCCGGACTCCTCGCATGACTGTGCAGCGCGAGAGCCTAACACCTGGCTCAACAATGCAGCCAGGACCAATAGCGACATCAGGTCCAATGAGACATCCCTCACCAATTTTGGCAGTCTCATCCACAATGACATTCCCCACAATGTGAGGGCCACTGGCCAACTTAGAAGAAGACTTCTTCCTCAATGACTCCAGGTAAAGCCTCAGGCCAGTAATATAGTCCCTCGGTTGTCCAATGTCCATCCAGAATCCTGGCAGGACCATTGCATGAAGCTTTTTCTCTGCAGCAATCTTTGGAAACACCTCTTTCTCAATAGAAGTGGGCCTCAGTTCAATTCGATCCAAAACAGAGGGGTTCAACAGATAAATTCCAGCATTGATTTTGTTACCAACAAACAACTTCGGTTTCTCTACAAATTTCTCAACCAGTCCTGTCGTCTGCTCCATCACAACCACACCATATTTTGAAGGCTCATCAACCTACACACGTAGATTAAAAATGATATTCCATGTTCCAACTTGTATGTATAGTCTGACATGTTAGCAATGGATTTTTATTTTATTTTATTTTTTGTGTGTGTGGGAGCGGGGAGTGAGGTCAATTCTTTTACCTTTGTTACCATTATGGACGCCTCTCCTCCATGGGATTTGTGGAATTCGATCATTTCTTTAAGCGGGTACTCACTGATAACATCACTGTTGAGAACAAAAAAGGGCTCTCCAGAGTCATCTATCAGCTTATCCCTGGCAAGAGCCAGGGGGCCTGCAGTTCCCAGTGGTTCAGTTTCTTGAGAACAAGTGATCTTGATGCCGAGCTTTGCTTCAAAATCCTTCAAGAAATTCAACATAACCTGCAGTAGTAGGAAGTGTAACCAAGGTAAAGAAACCTTAGCCACTTAAAATCTCTTTAAGCATTGACTAAAACAATGTTGTAAGGAGAGGCACGATCCTTACCTCTGGTTGGTAATTGATGGCTAGTACCACTTCAGAAACTCCAATGGCCTTAAGAGCCTCAATCTGAAAAACAAGCCAAATTAAAAGGCAAATCAGTATGATAGTCTATTATTCCATATTACGAGAAATAGACAATGATGTACATAAATAAATATTCATATTTCATGCACACATAAAATAGTTGCTTTTTCAGATCATATATCTAGAATATACAAATCAGAGACGTTTTTTATTCTTCAAAAATTTCACAAATCTCTGTTATGTAAAAGAAAAGGCATCAGATGTTGCATTGAGAAGGCATTAAACAACAAAGCATATCTCTAATTAATTTCTATAGCAAAATCAACAAAGCATAAAAACAGATGTAAAACTTTTAGGTAAAAAGGCTTAAAATAGCTTTACCTGATGCAGAATCATGGGCTTGTTGGCAAAATCAACAAGAGGCTTAGGGAAACTGAGTGTCAATGGCCTCAACCTTGTTCCAAACCCCCCAACCAAAATCAATGCCTTCATTGTGATATGCCCTTTGCTTTTTCCTGTAAATTTATAAATTAGAAGCAGATCAAGATATGAGCAGATAGGTTCCATGGTGTCCTATAAATATGAGCATCTTTTCTTATGCAGCAGCTTGGATCCTCCCCCCCAACAACAACCACCACACAAATTAAAAGGTTGAAGCAGAGGCACCCAAATCCATGAAAATGGAAGCGAAATTACTGAATAGGTACATCAATTCAATACAAAGCAAAAGAAAAACAACAGATACAGGGGCAGCAAGTGACTTCAGCAACAGATCAGAGTAGCACACAGAAATCGAAATTACAGCAAAATTCCAAGCATTGAAAAAAAAACAAAAAAAAAAACAACGCGAACATTGTGATTAAATAATCGGAATACGGAAACAACATGCACTGATTGATTACAGCAGAGCATGAACGAATCGAACGGGAAAATATCTTAATCGAAGCGAAACGCCAATTACATTGTCGGAATCAGAATAACCTCAGCTCAAACAAACGATTACCTCGAACGGGATTTAGATCCGAGGGTCGTGTCGGAGAGAATCAAAATCCGAACTAAAACCCCAACCCGGACCGAGTCAACGCGGCGAGTTGGAATCTAGAAGGAGAAGAAGGAAAGAGCCCCCAACCGTGCTGTGTTGGAATCACTGCGTCTGAACCATCTTCCCCTTTATATATAAGACCCACGCGCCAATTATATTTCCAACGAAGCTTTCCTACTTATTTTATCTGTTCATTTATTTAATTTTGTTTGTCTATTTAAATTTATTATTAGCGGATTTCGAAATAAATATATTGGGTAAGTTAAAAATGAAATTTTTTAAGAGCGTGGGGTTGGGGTTTCCTTTTATCAGTGTCGGTGCAGCTTCCTTGTAGTTTCGGATTTTGGCCACTTCCTCTGTTTCTGTTAACTGCTTCCTCTGTTTCTGTTAACTTCTACGTTGTCCGTTTTTGTACCTTCTGCTTCCTTATTTTACACATGTTCTTCGACTTCTACACACCCCACCAACATTTGAAACTTCTTCAACTCCCTGGTCTCTTGTATTTTTCACTGATTGGGGATAATAATCTTGGTTGTAATAATCTGCTTCAAATTTATTTTTCCCTTTTATTTAATTTTTCTTTTTAAATATTTAGATATATGTAGTATTTAATTTTCCTGCGAGTTTTTTACCCTTTGTATTTATTATTCTTGATTTTTACTAAAAATGGGTCAAAAGTTGTAACAATGTGATGTATGAGTATCTAATGTCCGTGTCAGTTTTTCACACACTTTATATTTATTATTATTATTTACTAAAAACGGGTAAAAGGTTGTACAATGTGCTCCAAATTTTCTTTTCCCTTATATTTAATTTCATTTTTAAATATTTAGATGTATGTTGTATTTAATTTCCCTATGAGTTTTTCACAGTTTGTATTTATTATTACTATTATTTATGAAAAATATTTGTCCTTTTAAAGAATATATAGTTGTATAATTTTAAGATAGAGAAAAATATAATCTAGCATTTTTTATTTAAAATTTAATTTTTTAAAAAAAAATTACTCATTTTCATTCCCTTGATTTCCATTGCTTATTTGCTTATATCTTTCTTTCACTAAAATGACATAAGTCAAAATTTTCTAAAATTACAAACACTAAACCCTTATTATTTTGGAAAAAGTATTTGTCATTTTAAATGATAGAAAGTTATGTCATTTTAAGAGAGATACAGACACGGAAAATTTAAATTTTAAATTATGCCTTTTGTATCAAAGTGAAAACCAAGAGGATTCTGAGCTTACAAACCATGCATTTTGTATCATAATGAAAACCAAGAAGACAACGCATATAGATTTCCTCAATGAGATCCCCATTTAAGAAAGCATTATTCACATCAAGTTAGTGAAGCTCCCACAACTACAGAGAGAAATGTACGAACACTAACCATTTTGGTGATAGGAGCAAACATCTCATGAAAGTCGACTCCTTCAATCTGATTATTACCTGCAATGATAGGTCTAGCCTTGATCGGTTTGTAGTCCCATCAGCCTTATATTTTATGTGAAACACCCATTTACACGGGAGAGCATGTTTTCTAGGAGGAAGAGTAGTAAGATCCCAAGTACCATTTTCTTGAAGAGCTTGAATTTTGGATGCCATTGCTTGCTGCCAGTGAATATCAGTCATGGCTTATTTGAAAGAAAAAGCCTCTCTATCACAAGTAATAGCTGCAATAAATGTTGCAGAGTAAGGTTAGACATCGGTATCCCACTCACTAGGGTCAGGGAAGATCTCAACCTCTTTGAAAATTTTCGGGAGGAATTACATATCACCCACCAACATAATCCTCACATCGACCAAATGGAATTTGAAACCATACCCTTAAGGGGAATGTACCAAACTTTTGGCCAACTGTACCTGCATTTATTGGCAATTATATCATTACTTTATCAACCTCTTTTATTTTTTATTGAGCACAATTAATGCTTCGATGTTATCTTTAGTGATTTTTTTTATTGTAAGTTAATGAAAAGTGGAAAATTAAACTATGTGCAATTTTGTAAGGATTTATTATTTGTCATGTCATATTACATAAAATTATATCATGTCACTTCAAAATTACGTCGTTGGAGTTAAGAGAATTAATGAAGGATGTTTTGGTCAAATTCATATAATAAGTAAACAAACAAAAATATCAAAACACCATTTATTAATTACCCTTACTTCCAAAACAATGTAGTTTTGGGCAGTGTTTAAAAACCCGACCCGACCGAAGTCAGGGGTCACGGGTTCAACCGGGGGGTCGCGGGGTCACTACGCTGACCCAGTTTTATATATTAAAAAAATATAAATATATGTATCCTATATGAAAATATTAAAAAAAAAATCACCAACCATTAAAGATTCAAAATATATTTAATATAATTTACCAATTATAACCACAAGTCAATATTACACAACCTAACTAAAGTATAAAGATACCAAAGTACAAAACTCATATTCTAATGATACCAAAATATCAAGATGCTACAAGTCTAGGTCGCTAGAAGAAAAGAGGACGATTAGATTTAGGTTTGTAAGCATTTTTATTTTTATTTTTTTAATAAAACGACGTTGTTTCATGTAATTTTCTTTTAAATAAAAATGCAGTGACTCCCTTTGACCCCTCTGACCCGGGAGTCACTGAAACTCAGTCGGGTTTTGGGGGTCGGAGGGGTCGATGTGCATATAGGGTCTAACTTGTGACCCGGGTCAATCCAGGGGTGGAGTGAGGTTTTAAAACACTGGTTTTGGGTGACATGTCATAAATAAACCCTTTTTTTTAATTAAAAATATTACTTTTACTCGTAAACTTGGCTAAGCATAAACAGGGCAAATGTCTTTTTTGTTAACCGATCTATATATCAATTCATCTTCATGTTTCGAGAATGAGATCATGTCATTATGCGAATAATCCATACATTTTATTTTTACTACAATTAACTTTTTGTTCATATTTGTGTAGATGTTAGGTGTGTGATATATATATTTTGGAGATATGCTGGTATAAGTATTTTGTTTTTCATCCTATTTTATATGTAATAATATGGATAGGTAGTTTTAAAAACCATAAAATTTCCTATGTTAGTACAGCACAAAATTTTCCTCCCGATTTTAGTATATCACAATATTTATATCTTCATCAAATAAACAAACATAATTCGAGTGGATTACTTACGCAAATTAAAAGCTAGAGTTGTGTTTGTTTATCACACCTCATGTCGTTATATTTTCACCCAATATTATTAAACTCGGATCGGTTATTGACTCGGTCGAGTCACTGAGTTAGTGGATCATTGATTGAACAACATAATTCAGATAAATATATATAAAATTTATATTCTATACTCATAGTAACTTTTATATTCTCTAGCAAAATTCATAATTATATCTATCCAAAATTATGTCTGTTAACAAACGCAAGGATTGATTTGTGAAACAAGGCTTGGCATGGAAGATGATATTATCATCTTCAACCAGCCTCCTTTTCAAATGATCAGTTTACTAAACTGAATGAGAATTTACTTATTTTTCATAATTATAAAACTCTTGCATCATTGTAATACATTTTTTCGAGCTTAGGCCCTCCCTAATTACTAAAAAAAAAAAAGAATTATCCATAGGGTCATTATTAAAAAAAATTAATATCACTTTTCAAATTTTAAATTAGTTCTCACCCTTGTCTTCTATGCTTTCAAATTTCAATCCAACTTACATTGAGTTTTTACTTTTCATTTCAATTTTATTTATTTTTCTTAAATGTAAATGTTTAATTGTTTTATTTTTTGTGTTATTGGTACGTGTATTTATGAATTGAAAATGGAGCAATGTAAATTAGAGATATTATATTTGGTCATTGCTTAAAAAATGACGTTTTGCTTTATTTATTTTCAAAAAAAAAAAATTATACATGACCCGACGGGGTTAATAAAAATCGATCGACGGTTTTGACAAAAATCGGCCAACTTAAACCGATTCTTACTGGGTTCTGAATCATTAGCTAACTCGAAACGATTAGATCACTAGTTCACCGATTTTTGGGATCAATACCACTAGATTGAGTCGGGTTTAATAATACTGTTTCCATCTATTAATGCGTGGCAATAATAGAAAGGGAAAAAAAGGGTCCTAAATTACATGAATGATTGTGTTTATTTATAAATTTTAATAAGTTAAGATTTTGATATAATTTATCCAAAATTCAAAATTAATTTAAATGGATAAATATGACAACTGCAGTAAAACTTGTAAATCTAAATTAAATATTTTTGTATGTAACTAAGTAAATAAATAAATGATCGCAGGCTTAATTTGTAAAACTATTTTATTTTAATCCAAAAAGAAAATATTTTACCACATCAAAATAAAAAATAATGATAATTATCTATTTAAAATACCAAAACTACTCACCATTAAATGATGATATTTGAACTTAAACATCTGACTATAAAATTTCAATCTCATCGTGGTTTAAGCAATTTAATTAGACGCGTGCGGGTAAATTCTGCTGCATAATTAACCCTTGTGGTTTCGGATTTTTTGTGGGAACATTTATAGCCTCCAACCTTCACATGCCACATGGCGTAGATAAGCTGTCATCTATAATTAAAATCCTTCGGTTACAGAGCCCTCGACTCACTCCAATTCATGTGTCAATGGTTTTTATTCCAATTATAATTACTTCATTTGAGTGACTTGGGGTATGGCAGCAATGAATTCAGTGCATACTGAAAAGGACAACCCAATTGCTTGATGTTATGTAGCTCCTACGTTATGAATTAATCAATAGTACTTCTCCTAAGTTTTCTAAAACAAATGGTATATAAATATTGCATATCATGTGTTTAGAAAATGATTGGGTGTTATAGATCAAGTATATACAATCTTATATATTCCTTTTATATATTGTTGAATTTGACTGTGATGACATAAAAAACTATATAATGTAATCGAAACATTATGAACGCTTATTTTCATTATTATTTTTCTTGATTATAAATATATAAATATATATATATATATATATATATATATATATATATATATATATATAAATAAAATACTGTAAGAAAATGAGCATGAATGCAAGGTTATGACCTAATGCTGAGAATATACCATAAAATGTTCTATCAGCGTTGACTGGAAGGTGGAGCAGTAATATTCATGCCAATTAATTTGGGGATCGAAACTTTTATGGCATTTACAAATTGATTTTTTTTTTTTTTTTTTGACATTTACAAATTGATAGTTCCACATATATATGTCTATGTGTGTTTGTTCTTAGTTGCCGATCAATTGGAAATCGGAACCGCAATTTTGTTTCAAGTTTACATCATATCACTTTCGAATGGCAGTATGATAAGGAAAGCCCAATTAATTGTCTAAGACAGCCTTATTGAAGCCATTGAATGTGAAATTGGAAAATTACCAGAAATATAGGTCCGAGAGCATATTCTCTGACTCTGAGAATTTAATTGATTGTTTAAAACTCACCAATACATAAAGATTGTATGCTATCAATGGAAATCATGTGATAACTTAAAAGAGGATATATAACGAAATTTATAGCAAAATGATCTACAAAAAAAATTAAAAAAATTGCAAAGGGATGTGAAGTCAACATAAACCGTTGACGTAGCTAATCCTTGGAGCATGTGACATCCCTCATTGATAGTTTTGATATATGGAAAATGCTATGTTTGCACTTTGAGCAAACCCTTTTAAATGAATTTTGTGCATAAGCGATCTGCAAAAGGCTATGATCAGTGCAATCGACGATATTAGAGATTTGTGCTTAACATACATGGATGCATACTAAAAAAAGTCAGCAATAGAAAGGGCGTACGTGATGATACTAAACATATGCATAAGCAAAGTAGGGATAACAATGACCAAGGTATCAAATGTTTAGAAGTGCAAATATAACAAGAAGTAAGTCAAATAGGCAAACATCATGCCCTAAAATTTTGCTGTTAATTAAAATTGTAAGAATTATGTTAAAAGAAGCAATGTTTTGGAAACTAACCATCAACTTAAACTTCATCCCACGTAAGTGTATTTTATCTGTGTAATGAATAATTTATATAGCACTTCGTGATCAAGAAATTTGGAAGAAAATACTGGCTGTCTTGTTAGCTTAGTTTAAAAAATTCAATCGAAAACACATGTGCTTAGTTCGATTGTCCTTTGAGTATAATTATAATCAAAGGAATTATAATCAAAGGCCAATCGAAAACACCATCATGCCTATGCCTTGTTCTTCGCATAAAATTATGAAATGGGCAACGTTCGATAAATTAAAGAGAAACGATAAATAGCATGAAAAAGTTATTATTATTAATTTTTGATGGGACAAGTGTGTGTCCTTTTAAAGGATACACACTTATATCCTTTTAAAAGAGATAAAGGAACAAATTATAAGGGGGAGAGAATGGAGGAAAAAATTTGTAATTTAAAATTTAAAAAAATACACTACATTCATCTAAAAGGACTATCATTTTAAATGACAAATACTAAACTCTTTTTTGATACATTGAAAAAGTTAGTTTTAACAATAGTTGAATTATGTCTTTTTGTTTTTTTCATTTTTAAGTTTTTGTTGGACTCAAATGGATTACTCTAAAATTGACCACTCACATGGTTTAAATTAATTAACTACATATCTGATATCATAATTTCACTCGCCCGCAGTCTTGCAGTTTGTATTTGAAAGGGTCAAATACTCATTTTTTTGTATTTTGCTTAATTAAGATCATTTTTCTAACTGTAAATAAAATAATTCTAACGATTGAGATCGTCTTTCTAAAACTTGTGGACGATCTCAACTCTTGATATGCTGCTCAGATTACTTGTAATCGGTTTTGGTCTCATTAATTAAAAATATTATTAAATATAAGATAGTAAAATAATTAAAAATGATTTTATATTTAACTGGATTAAAAGTACAAGATTTGAAGTAAAAAATACATATTTTTATTTTTATTATTATCTTTTGTGGGCTATTATATGCCAACTTGCTGGAATAGCTCAGTTGGCTAGAGCGTGTGGCTGTTAACCACAAGGTCGGAGGTTCAAGCCCTCCTTCTAGCGATTCTTTTATATTTTTTTATTTGGACTTCCACATAATATCCTCTATTGAACTATTATGATGAAACATTTAATTTTGTTGTATATTATATTAGGGTTTTATATATGTCATGTTGTAGGAAACTTATAATGTCATGTACTCTAATACATCTTATGTGGGCCCACTCAAAACAAAAAAAAACAAGGTGAGTCATCACTTTTTGTAAGAGTAACATGATGTTACAAGTTTTCTATAACATGATATATATAAAACCCATTATATTATCTTCTCGTTATTTACCAAATTAGAAAAATATATGATACTCACTGATACCGCATATGTGTGTGTGCGTGTCCTTATTATAATTTTGAAATTTGTTAAATTTTATATTAACTGGCCAAAACATTCCAAAATTTACTAATAAAAAATGAATGATTTTGACTAATAAAATTATAAATGGCAGGATTCGAACTTGCATTGCAAAAGACCAGATAATATCCTCCTCTATTGAACGATGGAGAGAGAGGGTATGATGACAATTGTTTTCATGCGTGAACTGAATAATGGTGCATTAGAACAGTTGTTAATAAATATATAAGATAAAGGTGATATTAATCAAAGGAATACCGACTGACCTGAAGAAAAAAAAATGTTTCAGGCATATATCCTTGAATAGGAAATGAAAAGAACGAGAACAATGCTGTGGGACTGTTACTTTGGGCCTAGCCATTTTCGGTATGGGCATAGAGCTAGAAATTATTTGGACTAACCCAGATCATCAATAATTGATAAGCTGACCAAATTTCCCTTAATTCTTTTCTGATACAATAGTGTATGCTCCTCAAAAAGGTTTTTACTTTTAACCGTTGACTGTTGCCTTATTCTCTAATAAAAAGCATAAAAGATAGTTAGGAGATGAAAAATATGAGTGAATTTTAAACTAAATTAGCAATATAGAATCATATTCCCAAGACTTCTTCCCTTTGATATTGCATTTTATTTTTAATTTGAATGTTTTTTTGGACAACAGTAAAGATAAATCACCAACGCATAAAGGAAAAGCAGCACAGAAATAAATATATGCTTTGATTCCAGGATATTTTATGTATTTAGCATGGACAGTACCTGTCTTCCAGAAGTTTACACCATTAATCTAGTTTTTTTTGCAGTCAATTTAAATAACAATTAAAATTACGACCGCATACGAACACATCCATCTATCTATGCAGTTTGCCCCACTGACAGGGAACATTGAAGCAACAGTTTAGTAATTAAGATCCTTGACTTTAAGTTACACCTTGTGCATATATCATTTTTGAAGATATGGTGATTCATGCCATGAAAGAATACAAGTGCATATGCATATGCATACCACTACTATATGTACAGATACATGACTTACAATTTATTTACCTATCATCAAAAGAACTGCTAACTAACAAAATTGGGCCAAGAGCCTCTTGGAAACCATGACATCAAGTGAGCGACTCGGCCAGAACAAGAGTATGCCACCAACCACAAGCAACACTTTTAGGGACACAACCTTCAATGGTGACTTCAGAAGGAATGTTACGGTCAATCACATCCCCAAGGCCCAACTGCCACACCCAGAAATTACGACTTAGAACAGTATGATTCCACAAGAAGAATGCTACTAATACACAACACTTCTTTACACATCACTTAAAATACACACAGGGTCAGAAAGGAATTCTAATAATGTTCATTGTTTAAAACGTGAAATAAAAAGGAAAGGAGATACATATGAAAGTGTGATATAAGAACCTGTCCATATTTGTTCCATCCCCAACAGAAAACTTTTCCACCCTCTTGAAGTACAGAAACAAAAGAAAGAGAACTAATGAGAATCTAATAATTAATAATAGACATGTGAATTTCCATGTGTTTTATATTGCCAATAAAATAAAAAATACATATCAATGAGCAAAGCATTTGACGTCCAGTATGATTACTGCGAAAGTAAACACAGTTATTTACAATATGAATTTGAAGTTCAGCAAGCAATCTTATTCAGTTACACTATGATAGAAAGTTTTGGATCAGGTGCGCTTAGGCTACAACAGAGACTATATTTAACCACTAACCCACTCCAAAGATTGTTCAGTTTGACTAGCACCACTGTCATTGTGGACTTCATACAATTAAAGAATATTTTCACCTCAACACCATTTCACAGTAGCACCAGACTCCGACATTTTAGCCAAAATAAATATATAAAAAATTATTTTTTTTCCACAATTTTCTGTCCAGTTGTTTTGGCAACAGATTATTCAACTAAACTTGAAGAAAAATACATTAATTAAAAATTGTAAAACATCAAATGAGAAAATTGTATGTGCTCACTGTTTTGTACTTGATCTACAGCACCTTCTAGATTCCGTTGATAGAAAAGGGATGGACTTCAGAGACAATGAGACATCAAACAGGTATTCAATTTTATTGTGTTTAGAGATGTGTAAAACTGACTACAATAGTGGAAGCCTAGCTCTGTCTAGGCAGCTACGAAAATGAAATAAGCAGGTCTGTATAGTATCGTATACCTGTTATTAAAGCAGTGTGACGAGCACCACAAGATATGTTCTTTGCATGCATATTTTCCAAGCTCGGAAAACCAACCTGTCTTGGTAGAGTCTGCTTCAAAATTGAAGTTAACACTTAAAAAACTAATATTGCATATTGCCTCAACTAATAGAATTATGAATCGACATGCTTAACGGGGCTTTGGATGACAGCAATTATGATGTATGATACAACCACAGCTCACTAGTAATTGATATAATCTCTATCATTATGTTTTGTTTTAATGACAAACAGAATGGGGAATCTAAGGTATGGAACTAACTATGGCATACCTCAGCTTGATCAGCACCAGTTCCCAGCTGCCCAAACTGATTCCCACCAAAAGCATACACATCACTATCAGCAGATGTACAGACTGTATGCCACAGTCCTGCAGCGACTCCCTCTATTCGGATACCCAATAAGGAAGATACACAAGTCGGGCTTAGTTCATCATCAGTAGTTCCTTGTCCACACTTGACCAAAACAATATGACATTAATATAGTATAACAATATAAGCATGCATCGACCAACAGAGTAGCAGGAAAGATAAATATTGTAAAGTAATAGAACAGATTATCCCTTGTTAGAGTGAACCACATCTTCAACATACGCAGCTTTTGTCCACCATATTCTACTTTACCTACAGGTTGACCCTTAGGTATGATTAACAGGTGATAATATCCAAGCAGTGTTGTAGATGAATATATTTCAACTACGTATAATTTAGTTTGATTCTAATGCAAAGAAAATTCATGGAACTACATAATAAAGACTCCCACAATCTCGGGCAAATCAGAGCACAATTTTACCTGTCCATGGAGTCCCCAACCAAAAGTAAGCAAAGCTCCAGCATCTGTCAGTTCAACAGGTAGATATTCCAATATCAGTAGACAAGAAATTAATCGTAGATAAAATAGAAGAGATTTTGGAAACAAAATGAACTACTAAGCAAGTTTCTCAGTTTCCAATATTGTAACCATTCAACTCCTAATCTAGTATCCAGAGAGGCAACACCCGTTATAGATATTTTCACAAATTTATGGATCTTTTGTTAAGTTATTATTTCTCTTCTCCTCTTTAAACCATACAATTCCTGGACTGACCATTCCATCCATTGCAAAACTAATTTTCTCTTTCTAAACACCTTTAAGCACCAAACTTAACACCAGCAAGGTAAATTGAAGCATTATGAACAAAGCATATGGATACTCTAATTTTTAGGTTCTCCAAAGTAACCAAAATGAATGCTATCCAGTTCAGTTACTGATTAGACCAAGTGACTAACGCTTATGTACCTGTAATTACTGCACTGTGTCGACCTCCACAAGCAATTCCCTTTACATAACTTCCAGGAACTCTAAAATTCTGTCGCTCCAAACCCACGCTTCCTCGAGCCAATGTTATAGATCTATCTTTACCATAAGAAGATGAATCAATACAAGGAACAAGATGAGGGGAGGAAACCATACGTGTTCTGGAACCCAAACCAAGCTGCCCTTCACCTCCATAGCCCCAACCCCACACCTGTCCTATATCTGAAACTCTCAGAAAATTAGAATCAATGGAAAGTCTTGGACTTCAAAAATCTACGCTTCAACCAAAGAATGACCTCATTATAAGATGGGGAGAAAACAACATACATAAAATCTTAGGTTTAAAAATAGTCCTTAACAAAGTTTATACCTGACAAAGCTAGGGTATGACGTCCACCAGCAGCAACACTAGCTATCCTTGTTCCCGGGTTAAGTGTGACAAGACAAGGCAATGCTTTCAGAGTATCATCACTGGATGATGAGCTTTCAGCTGTTTGCTTTGAAGAAGATACTCTCCTTCGCTTTGTACTTTCTTCTCCACCGTTATTGGAGGCAGTACCTCCTCTAGTAGATCTTGAGCCTTGAGAACAAGGACTCGCTGTTAGCAAAACAACTCTACATAAGCCACCACTCCTTTCTTGAGAACGCCGTCCCTCCCAGGGAGGGATAATGGCAGGAGGCAGTACATCCAGGAGGGGAACGAGGGCTCATGCTCATCATAAAGGGCGTAAAACTCTTTTCTTGTTTCTTTTGGGTTTGCGAAAATTCTATCCTATATCGTTGCAGTTATACTCCTTCCCCACTCACCCTTGACTTTCTTAGACCGCTCTTTGGGAGGAACAGCTAGCTGGACGTAAATGGTCATTGTAAAGAGGTCAAACATACCTTGCTCTGTCGACAGTGAGCTCTGCTTTCCCGGCACATCTTTTTCAAGACATACCCCTGTTGATGGTTCACCAAATACCTTCCCACAGGGAATACATTCTTTCCACCCCCAAGTGTATACTTCTCCACACTCTGCAAAGGAACAGAAAAAACATACTTGTAGGGGAGACACTAGGAAGAAACTTAGCTTCATTGAAACTATACACGTTCGTTCTATAAGATAAGGAAATCCACCTTACCTGTTACAACAACACAATGAGCCCATCCAGCTGCAGCTTTTACAATGGAGGTTTCGGTTGGAAGAGGGAAAGGCTCTGGAGTTTCCTTTACAATTAAAACTAGAGAATCAATTGTCTCACAGATAAAAGAGAGCGAGAGAGAGAGAGAGAGGTCAGTATCATTCATTGTATATGTTTATATGCATTACCCCGTGCTTTCCTGACGTCACATAGCTTTGGCCTAGATCATCTGTTGAGCCCCATGTTATGAGCTTCCCTTGCTCTGATTAAGGAAAAACACATGAGTAATCATCAATACAAGAAAATAAGCTAATAAAGAGATAGAGGGACGGAAACATATGCACATGACTAGAACAATATCAACAACAGTGGATTCCATAGGAACGAGGAGCAAGAGATTGGTAACAACAATAAGAATAACTAGTGTCAAAGTGAAACAGTAGTCAAAGCCTCACAAACTGCAAATTACCCCTCTCTTAAAAACAGTGAAAACAGTAGTGAAAGGTTAAATTTTTTTCCCAAACCTGCCTGATTTTCTGAGGAAACAAAAACGACGACGGAAAAACAAAGCCTCTAACTCTTAAATCCAAAAAGAAAAAGGAATTGCAGTAAAAAGGTAAGGCACCAGAGATAGCCATAGCGAATCCAATGCCACCACCGGAAACATCATTCCAGGAGTAACCAGACGCCGGAAACCTAACAGCAACAGGAGCCAAGAGTGGCGTTCCCTGCGGCAGAGCCCCTGGAAGATAACCCCACATGTAGAGTACCCTGCGGCCGAGGCCATGCAATGTCTCAGCTCGTCCTTCACTTCCGTCGCCACTATTCATGGCAATTCCGAGAACAAAAGAAAGGAATGGAAACTCAAATTGGCAGTGCAAAAGGTCAGAACTCTTTCAACCACCTTTAGGTTGGGCGGTTACTTAATACTTACTTGTGTTTGTATAGAGAGAGAGAGTGTTAGTTGATTGTTTGGAACAGCGTCGAAAGTGCCACAGTTAACAAAAAAAAATATATATATATATCAAAATGAGACGGGCAATAGTAAATTTTGCCAAAATGTCACGTGATATATTTTGTTACACTAGTAAAATATGTATGTAAATAATTTACTCCACGGTGTAGCAAAATATGCCACGTTATAACTAAAAATGTCACGTGTCAAACAGAGAGAATTTCGCTACACAGTGTAGCGAAATTCTCTCTGTCCGACACGTGACATTTCTAGTTCTGTGAATTCTGACGCGGCATATTTCGCTACACCGTGTAGCGAATTATTTACATACATATTTCACTACACAGTGTAACAAAATATGTCACCTGATATTTTGACAAAATTTACTAACATCTTGATATTTTTTTTTTACCAACAATAAAAAGGAGCGTATCATTTTCAGCCGAATGGAGGTGCCAGATCGGATGCTCAATTGTGAATTTACACATCTCGTAATGCTGCTCGCTAGATGCGTCCGCTATTTCTATCCACGAGTTTTGGCCGAAGTTTCTCGAAGGTCTTGTGTTTTGCGTGCTACCGTGTTAGCTCTGTTCTGCGCCACGTGTTATCCCCATGCAGAAACTACAATCATTGTTTTGCCACGTGTATTTTGCTAAACCCATTGCAAAATCATAAATCATCATTTTCAAGTTAAAAAAGATCATGACAAGTTATGTGAGAAGATTATAATTGTATAAAGGTAAACTAACGGTAATAATTATATAATTATCTATTTCATTAATTATTTTTTTTTTTTATTATTGATTCATCTTTATATGATTATAATTTTTTACATGACTATGTCATATTTAAAAAATATCAGAGGATCCAAATCCATCATCATTAGCCTCTTGCGAAAGAGAAATTCTAATATATCAAATATGAAAATGAATCCTCTCATGTAAAAAATATATATTAAATAGTCATGTGAGAAAATTACAATTATATAAAGATAAATAAATAATTATGATTTTCTAACTATCTATTTCAATATTTTTTCTCCCTCTTCATTTGTTATCATTAATCCACATTTATATGGATATAATTTCTCACATGACATTAATGAATATTAGTTATCATTTTTCACCAAATATTGACCCACGGACAGATAAAAATTTTGCAGGACAAATAATGATTAATGATTAATTTTAATGTGAGAGAATATTAATGATTAATAGATAGATTAAGATTTTATAAATTTTGTATTCTAATTTTTTCACTCTTTCTTTACCATTATTGATTTATCTTTTTATATTTATTAGAATTCTCACACATAATATGATCATGTTAAATAAGACATGAAAGGATTTACTTCGAGAGACTTAGTTATGTAAAGTTGGTACGGTTGCAACAACAGGAAAAAAATGGTAGTGAGGCATTGGATAGTAAAAATATAAAACAAAAATAATTAGCCATAGATTATATTTACAGTCATTTTTCTCTTATAATTTTTAAAACAAATTTATTATTGTTTGATCAAAATTAAATTAGCGATTCTCATTTAATATCATTTTGTAACCGTTGATTTTATTTTGATCCAACGATAATAAAATTTTTTGTAAAAAAAAAAGTGGTTGTAAATATATTCACCCTCAAATAATTAATGTGTTTTTAATTTTATACTGCAAAACTAAATTATAAAGTAAAATTTTAAAATAAGAAGATAAAAATAAGTATTAAATACACTTTTTTAATTTAATTTTTTTAAGGGATCAATGTTTCTCCGGTAAAATGTGTAAAATGGATATAACTTTATCTCCTGCACTCATATGGTAGCATTTTCGTGAGTGTAGGAGATAAAATTGTCTACATCTTGCAACTGATTGATCCTTTTGCCATTGTTTTTTAAATAAATTATCACTATGTCCTTCTTTTCAAACTATATATCAATCTGTTTTTATTGGACTATGTTGTTACTGGAGTAACTGACCTAGTTATTCGATTAACTTAAACAAATGAGCAACTCAAATTTGTATCCACGAATATTTTTTATTCAAATCAAATTCTAATGTCTTGTGTATGTATAAATGGACTTGAGATGAGTGTTTGTGGATCCAAAATAATTAAGGATAATCTTCATCCAAGCTCTCTATACCCTAAAATTGTATAAACTTTGGAAGAATGAAAATTTTGCCTCATTTGTCCATTTGGGGTTTTTTTTAGGGTAATATTACTCTCGTGTAACATGAGAGTAGTTCTCTCATGTTACAGAGAGAATACAAGTAGGGTCCGCTATTTAAAAGTAAAAAAGAAAAAGAAAAAAGAAGGGACACGATTTTCGAAGTGAGAGAAAAGGAGATAACTACCTCATGTAAAATAAGAGTAGTATTTCCCTTTTTTTTTATTTCATATGACTTTTAGAGATTCACACAATGACAAGGAATTTGGTCAAAAAATGCTTCCTTGATAGGTTTTAAAAATGATAAATTATGTTATAAAAAAAAATGATAAATTAAATGGATATAAATCTTTAAAAGTAATACTCCATGAACATAAATATATACATAGAACATAGTTTAGTAAATTTAGTTTGGGAGATGTTATACTTACTATTGAAAATTTTTATAACTCTAAATTAGTCATCGTTGATTTCTGTCAATCTAACGGTTATAATTTATTGGACGTATTTATTAATTAATTATTAAATTTTAATAAATTATAATCGCTAAATTGATGAAAATTAATAATAATTAATTTAATAGTAAGAGTTGTAAAACTTTTCAATAGTAAATATAGCTGCCCCCAATTAGTTTAGGGTATAAAGAGTTTGAATGAAAATTGTCTTTAATTATTTTGGACCCTCAAACCTATATATATGAAGTCCAAATATATGCATATATAATGTAATAAGTATGGATTAATAAAAATGAACCCTTTTTTACAAGTTATAGTAAAAATCAATAGAAAAATATTTTTTACATCTTGAATTAAATGAGGACGATTATCAATTGTAAAAGAACCACAAACATTCATGTGATCCACCTCCATCCATGACTATTATAGTCTTGTACGTATATAATGCCAGTCGCGACCACAATTTGCAATCTGTTGTAATTGCAACAACCAACGAGTGGGCAAGGAGCCAAATCAAAAATGAGTTACGAATATATCTCTGATTTATTTGAAAGAGTCTCTAGCAAAAGTCTGTTTTGAAGATTTTGTGACAGATTTCTGCAGCACACCAACAGTTCCGTTAACTTCAACTTCGAGATTAAGATCCAAGTTCTTCTTAAGGCGATTCAAGAATTACTGATGAAGTTGCCATGTTCGTACACACGATAACAAAACGTGCATTAATTATATGTAACGTTTTTGCGATGCCGTTGCCGACTTTCTTTCCAGCCACAATTAAGATTCAGTTACATAACCATTTGACCATATATGTCATTGTCAAAGGTCATAATCAACAACCACAACCACAAATAAGGTTTTGTTCTGTTACATAACGATGAAGCAAAAGTTTTTTGTGGTTTATTGTTTTTTTTTTAAGAAGGCTTACTATATTTTTTTTTAAGGATAAATCATTTCTCGAGATAAATTATTTTAAATGAACACAAAATGATATTATTTTGTGGCAGAAATCAAGTATTTTTGTAATTCTAATTTATTGCAGGATTATATTAGTCTTTTAATATCATAATTTTTTAATTTTATAATCCAAAACGACGTCGTTTTGAGCTTACTGAAGATAACTTTATCTACAGTGACCAAAGAAATACCTTTTCCTTTTAATAAGTTAAAAATTATTTTTAAATTAAAGTAAAAAAATTAAAATTAAAATTAAAAGCTGTTTGATAATTATATAAAATTATTCTTAATATTTTGTAAGGAGAGAATAAAAGATAAAATTTATAAATAAAAATTTAAAATATAAATATAATTGAAAAATAAATATGAGAATTTAAAAAACTAACATACATCTTAACAAAGGTTTCTCTCGAGAATTTTTAGTTTTAACTTTTTTTCTCATTATAAAAAATACTCTTTTTAAAATAAAAGTTTTTATAAAATTATATTTTACTATACTTCTGCTTATAAGAAAAAATAAAATAAAACAAGGCACTTAATGAAAAGCTTATAAGCATATACGAAGTAATACCATCAGATCAAATTTATTATTATCATTTGCGAGTACCACGTCATATCTGATAACCAAAAAGATAATTATACGAACTAAACCTTAATTATCAGAGTATGTTTTTACGTTAAAAATGTATTCATGTTTACCAAACATAGTTTATTGAAGAATATAAGTATCAAATTAAGGCTTGATTAATAATAAAAGTATGAGTTAATTAATAAAGTTTTAATAATGAGACTCGCGAATAACAAGATCATATATGACTTAATTTATTAATTAACCTATTTGGTGCCAATTAGTAGTGATAGTGGGTTGAGCTGGTTGAGCTGGTTGAGTCTTATTCTGAAAAGTCCAAGCTTATGATAAAAAAATTCCAATTTGATCTAGTCCGATAACATAGGACGAGACTAACTATTAATCTGACCTGACCCATTTATAAAAAGATAAATGATCTGTCTTGTCCCATTAGCCTGTTAATTTTTAACTTCAGCAAAATATGAATCAACTTCACGAAAAACTAAAATTATGTTGTTAAAACAAAAACCACAATTTTAATATCAAAACAGAACCATAAATCACAAGTTCACAACAACAACTTATCACAATCTGCATTTTAGTCACTCTCAAAAGCAAAATGCTCAAATTAAATAATATATATTTCTTCGGATCTAACAAATCAATCCATACTATGTAAATTAAAATAATTACATGAATTCAACATACACATTATGATGCTTGTAGTAGCCAAAAACTTCTCATCATGTTCTTTCCCCTGCAAATACAATTCGAACGTTACATAAGTTGACAAACAATTTGTAAATGTAGAAAATAAAAAACAATATTAAAGAATAGAAATAAAAAAAAACAAGATTAAGAAACAAAAAATCTTGGAGGAAG